ACGTACAAACGTAAGAGTAACACATACATCTATGACACAACGGTCATACCTGTAGACTATAGAGGCTAGTACTGTTTGTTAATTGATTTTGTACAAAGCGGAACTAGATATACAATTAAAATGTATGTATCTCATTGGTGCATTTAGCTGAACCATGAGAACTAGTTGTACTGATGAACGCTACCCAGCGAGCTATGGTAATGGGGCCAGAAGAGTATTGGGGTCCCTCGCTTTCTCGTATGATGGTGAACCGTTTTTCGTTGCTGGGCAGGACCACCGCCGTTACTATCTTTTCTGCAGCTCTTACGTCATTCCACAATGGCGGTAAATTGTGCGCGAACAGCTAGGTCGTACTTGGCCTTGAGGCGCATTTTAGGCAGTCTCCGGTGGCCGCATTTGCCCGTTCTGCAGTGGTCAATACTGGGGAGAGACAGGAACATGGTAGATAATGCCCCTCCTTTCCTCCCCTAATCTCTCTTCAGTCCCCTGCTTCATATAATATTACAAGATGATATTTTTCTGTTCGTTCTGTTTCTGCTACTTCTATTAGAGAATCTACAATACGCTCGTAATAGTATTAGCAGTGCCTAGTATACTATCGTAATCGACACTGTGCATAGACAGGGCTCTTGCTTTAATAGCCAGTCATCTCTATGCGTACAATTGAACCCTGTTTTTCTGACAACTAATGCGATAAAACTGTGTAAACCGAAATAATGTAATTAACCCATTGCTGAATATAGGCGGCGATATTGCGGGGTAGAAAATTAAAAAATCTCAGAAAATTAAGGGACCATTATTATTATTTAGGCTGAAAATAGTTAGGGAAGACGAGCTAATCGAGTGGAGGCTAGAGCCTGCATCTCTAGAGCTAAAAAAAAAATTGAAGAATACGTACAAGTGTAAAAAATGACATAACCAATAAAAGAGTATGATAGAATTTAGAGAAAACATTCTTTAAGGAATGAACTCGTACCTGCAGTGGCAATATCAGCAATAAGTCGTTTTGTATAAGATCGCACATATTTTGGTAAAGGCTAACCTTCCAAAAACGTGTTTTGGATGAAGTCATATCGCATGGCATGGACTAAGTCCCGAGCCCACTATTTACGGCTATTCGGGATATACCTACATACACAATTATAATATATATAACGTTCAGTAACGTTTTTTAATAGTCAGTAATAGTGTGCAGATGTTTGATTCTCGTGTAAAACATGTTGCATTTCATCGTGTTGAATGTAAAATTAAAGGGGTGAACATCACCCGCTACAACGGAGGAATTGTACGGAAACCACGTGCAGGTAGACGCATAATATCGCATCTTGAACGAGTACTAATAATGTTTTGTTACCGCCAACGTTCGAATATTTGCTCGGTACATGCTGCTTTGTGTGTAGACCCATTGTCTGTTCAATCAAACATGCAGTCACAGCACAATGGCGTCAAGCCAGTCGATAAATGAGCGTTCCATGAGGTGCAACGATAATAAGAAAGGTACACGATGATATGCCATAGGAAAAAGGGTAGCAGCGTTTTGTTTGAATGAATTCGGTCATAACATATGCCGTAATAAATTCATCGAATGCCAACGCTTCTCCTAATCCCCATACTAATGAAATACCATGTACCAACCATCGTTTGACTGATCCTGCCGTTCACTGACATTGTACCTTAGCTTACAAACATCCGAACGAAAAAGTATCGTTTAATTTGTACCTTCATTTATTCTTTAATTATAAATCTATACATGATTTAAGCATAGAAACGTGCATTATAGATACGTACAACGGCACATATAGTCTTAAATATGACATCGCTCTCAGTAGTAAAAAGCTCATCTTTTCTTGCTTTAAAATAGAGTCAACAAACAGCATCTTGAAACTACCTTAGATGTCTGTTTACTATGGCGTTAAGATTTACTATTTCTGGACTCTGGACAAGCGTGTTTCTCAATAAAGGCATCTAGCAAGCATGTGTTAGACTATCTGCGATGCATGACCAAATGATAGAGTATTCAGTAAGGCCCATTTGGCAGAATGGCGCGGTTATTAATGTCCGATTTCTCTTTAAAGTAAGCTTAAAGAATCAGGACTTCATTCAACACGAACTGCTGTTTCGCGGGCTCATTACATTTAACAAACCGGCTCCCCAAGTCATTCTGTCTGTAGTGAAATTGTCCAATAAAAATACTAACAAATTTCCCTAATCAGTAAAAAAAATACAAAATTGAAACAAATATAAAATTCGAACGGTAGTACTATAAATCTACAGACAGAAACAAATCCTATTCATCTGCTACGGACCGAAATTGATACGTACTTGAACCAGTAATCCTTCACAAAGGCGAAAAAAAATTATTTTTCCGTATTTAAAACCAAAAAAGAACACAAACAGCTGCAATACATGTAAGCCAATCTATCTGTAGTTGAACAATGTCTCATATTTAGTACAATGGTAAATAAATACCTTAAGCCACCAGTAGATAGCTATTTAATATTGAAATAAAACTTATTGTCTACATTCGTCCGTCTTATCTATCGATAGACATATATAGTGAATATACATTAACGCATTTATACCTTAAGCTGAACTGTATAGTATATCTTCATCTATGTAAACCGTAAACTTTCTTTTCATCGTAAAGTGATTAGTTATGAAAGATTTTAATTTATTCTTCTACGAGAAAAGATCTCTCTACTTAGAGCGAAAATTAGAGCGAACCTCTCTAAGAGATAAGTCGAGCAGTCACCACTATGCACGTGTCGAATGTGTATAATGGGGGGTAACAGCGTTTGCTGACTCTTACTTCTGCCTCTGCCATAGCTACATTTGCTGCTGGTAATGGTATGACGACAATGGCCAAATGTCCAGGGTCACGCCGACGCAATACTCACAAAATACACACGTGGCTTACATATGCAGATGAAGACATTCACAACAAACGGATTTTTATATATTGACTGCCACTTAGATTATTGCAGCTACAACGACTATTGCCTCTATCCGGACAAATATTGTACTGGAACAGTTTTACAGGCGATGGAGGCAGTGTGACGAATTTGTGCGTCTGCTGCTGCGCCTGCATCCAGGCTTATACTATATCGAAGGGAGGTGGTCGCCGCACAAGCGAACCAGTAGCCGCTGCTTGAACTACGCAAAAGTGGAGGGGACACCTTGCTGCCCCCCGAAATTACTGCTGATGCTAATGCCCCATGTGTCCGTATATATTACTCCTATGGGTCTGTACGTGTTTGCGTCACGATAATGTTTATGTATTGTCGGCGTCACGTATTCGTGACACTGGAAGTAGATGAGTTCTCCTGGGGCGCTGCTTTTGGCCATTATTACTGTAATATCAGACCCGGAAATCGTTTCTTGGGCCTGACGATACCTTGGTCAAATCGTTAACAGACAACCGGTCTAGCGACTGCTACTAAGTTTAATCATTATTCACTCAGGGGCGCCGATGCTGTATTTACTATTACTGATAAATGAAAGGAGACCGTTTTCGAACTGACTGAGCTGTCGTCCTTTACGCCGGCAGAGGTAAATGAAGGTGGAGACAGACGACAGGAGAACTGTGCAGAGTTTGCTGGATATAATCGTTCTTCTATCCCGTTAGCTACTTACTGCTGGGGGGGGCGGGGTGCACGAATAAACACTGATAATACCGTAACATGTTGTTATTTATAGTTTGTGCCTCGTGTTTATTGCCGGACACTGTGGTATTTGCTTTGGCTGCCATTGTTGTTGTTGGTGTCTATCAGCGTTATGATGATGATGATGATGTGTACAATTTCACATTGCAGGAGCCGTTGATGTCAATCATGTTTAGGTAAACTCTAGCTCTAGACATCACTTCAAGGTCTCAACAAACGTTAGTATATCGAGCACAAATTATCACTTGTGTCGTTTTATATACTGCTGTGTGAATCGCTCTGTACCTTTAGATATGGATTATATTATAAAGTTGAGCAGCGGTCGTTAGGAAGATAGCGGGAGTACCGATTGTATGTTCTAGTGCTTACCACTTAAAACAACCGGCGGCTAGATCCCAATAGAAGGTTAGCGTACTTATTATTATCATACATAAAACACTCATTACTTAAGCTGAATACTAAGTTGTGAAAAAATCAAAATTGAAAAATATCAATTATTATAAAACAACATCTGCTCTTTTAATTCAGCCTATCTAATCTTAAAAACATAGTCACTATATTATAGACTATTCTATATGTGGTAAATGTTAATGACTCATTGTACTCTGTGTGATTATTATATTCGTTAGCATCATTGTATAACATAAGCGCTGAGCTGAAATTTCAATACTATCTACAAAAAAAAAGGCACTTTTACACGCACTCTGTGCTGCTATGCATAAGATCAGTGTATTTCAGTTTTCTCGTCCTGTTCTAGCTTGACCCCGTGGCCGTTACAGCGTAGCTTATTCTATAGTCTTCAAATCACCTCCATCTATAGTATAGAACCGTATAAGAACTTTATCGTTCTGCCAGGCTTATTTTCGTCTTCACCCGCCTGCTTCTGTGATTTTGTCAACACTTTTTTTCCAATAAAGACACTTCAGCATATTGACAATGTTACTTGCTAGTTAGTGTAAGTAGTTGTTTGCTAGCAATGTCCGTTATGTACGTACCTGACACTGGATGATGTTATGTTTTTCATTTAATTTCTTTGTATCTGATTTGTAAATCAGACCAAAATGAGAACGTTTCGTCTTTAACACTACATTGCTTGTTTGATTGTTTCTTCTGTTTTTGCTTAGGGTTGATCTCCCTACATATACGTATGCTCTCTTCCTCAATTTCTAGTCTATAAATTAGTCGTACATGAAATTTAGTCCCATTTCATTTGACATCACGCTGGCTGCTCTGGCTTTATTGGGCTTTGCCCGCCAGATCGCCTTTCGAGCAGACAATCTCCTTCTCTCTCTATTTATATTGCTAGTGATTCGCCTACTTCAAACATTAGATACAACTCCGGTGGCTGATGTACGACGGATTGCAGTGAGGAAGTAAATGCGAGCTTTGTTTTAAACCCTTCCAGATGCGTTTTGTAAGTTGCAACTTTTTTTTTTTATCAGAATTCAATGTGGAGCTCACCTTGAAACCCTGAATAGGTATGATACAGAATTTAGACAGTTCACGTTTAATAAAAATATTGTTCCAATATTTGTGAATGCTAGTATCGAATGGATTTAGCCCAGTCATTTTGGGCTTGTTGCTCACATTGTCGTTTGCATTACAGAAGCAACTGGGTTTGTAAAAAAAAAGTTGCCAGTGCGTTATCTAGTCTCATTCCACCAGCATCCACGCATTGGTTCTTATTTCATCAGAATTAGCAAAAAACTAGATCAGATGGCTATTTTCTGGCTTATGCAGGCTGAACGTTTGTGCTTCTTACATTTATGTTTGCTACCTTCTTCAGATATAATACTCAGTACGAAGAATTGTGACCACTCTTCAACTAACCTCATTCAACAATCTCATAAACATCATTCAACAATCTTCAACGCATTGAGTTACTGTCGTTATTGTCGCCGAAGAATGTCTATTTCATAACGAAATAGCTTAAAGGGCTATTGCAAAATCTCAATTAACCAAGTTTACAAATAAAATATATACGAATTGTCCATGTTAACAACTGACGTCATTCATGTATGATGGCTTTGTATGAAAAATTATTCGCATAATTGCAGAACGTTTTTTTTTATATAGTGAGTTATGTGCTCGATCGATTTTAAAAAGCCTAGACATTTCAGGGAGCAGAACCCTAAATCCGGACAGTTCTACTAAATGGCACTTGTCATGCCCAGGTGCTATTTTACAAAATCATAACTTACACTGGGACAGAACTTGAATGTTCCTTTTTTTATATTAACATCTCACAATTACACATAGACACCCCCGCAATGTTCCAAAGGTATTCCTTGTAAGTGAGCCATAAAAGTTTTATATTATTCGTTTAGAAGCGTAGCCTCCTGGAAATGAATGTTTCATTAGTTATATTCATGTTTGTTTACAAAAGTGCGTCTAAATTTACTTCTAACCAGCAATGTTGACAGTATGTACAAATGTGTGGGAGAAATTGGATTTGAGTTCTGGGGTAGTTGAGCAAATATACACTTGTTTTAGAATATAGGATTAATTACTCTATAGTATTTATGTATTTGTGTAATAAACGTAATAATACTCACATACTAGTATTACCTTTTGCGTCGAAATAAATTTTAGGAGCAAGAGTCAGACCCTCGGGTCAGTCAAATCGCGAAGTATTTACGTAACCAAAACATCTCATTGTGGGAAGAGCCGTTTTGGCATAATGGCGAGACAAACATTGCTCAGGAACTCGTCGATTCTATCGCCACAGCGTGCCATTTACCTGCCGAGGTAAGATGAGGACGACCAGTTTCAATGGAATAGGTAATTTGTGTATTTTCTTTAAGGACAATGCGAACAGATGTCAAACCACCGTGAAATAGTTTCTTTTCAATACAAAATGTACACCTTTCGTAATGACGCGACTTTTCTTATGACATACTAGGTGAAGGTTTCGTGCATTTATATCTTAACGTGAACGTTACTAGTACACAACCGTATTAATGAGATGCCAAATACGTTCCATAATCATAATAATCGTTTGCTTTTTCTTAATCTAGTTGTTATTTTTTTTTCAGGTGATTTTGCCTATATTAGTGCAGCTGCAGCAGCACGCGCTTGAACGGCTTGAAGATAGAAAATTATACAGCGAGCAGAAGGTTATTTTTATTGATACGAATTGGCATATGAAAATATCAGTGCAAAGATGGACAATATTATTTTCGAAAAATTCTATGTGATTTTCACGTTTAGTTTTATAATGCATTCGATATATAAATATTACAGCCTATATCTTAATATTGCCTATTCATATTGTATTTAAGTTGTTAACTATTCGTGTAAAAATTGGACGGGTCGAACATGCGGTGCGTATGCCGGAAACGCAGTCTAGCTCGAAGCTTTTCGATGAAGTAGCAGACCTGGCTGATACCGAAGCTTCTAGGGTACGATTAGTTCATCAGGGCAAAATGCTACCCAATGATTCTACGCCCCTATGTATGCACAATGTGAGTAACAACGCAAAAAGCTAGCTAGTATTCGCGTAGGACATAATCTTATGCATGTATATAGTCAACTAGAAATCTCCAGGACACAAAAAAAAACCATCTAGAAAGTGCCTATTCCTCGAAGGCCACAGCGCTGTGGAAATTTACCGAAGACTGGTGAAAATATTGAGCCAGGCGGTCTTATGGAAAAATCCGGTAGGTCGACGATGCAGACGTTTCAAGAATGGACGTTGGAGCGGTGAAGATCAGTGAAAAGGTGACCAGATATCGAGACCCGAAGGACATTGCCGTAATTGAAAAGGCTTTTTACGAAAGCAGAGGTTGGAGTCCTAGGATTCTGTCAGACAAAACTGGCATTTCATTTGTAACGTGCTACAAAATTATAACCCAAATATCGAAAAACATGTAAACTGAGTAAGAAGTGGGCCCACCGTGAAGTGACTTCAGGCCAGTTACAAATACGTGTGGTATATTCCACGGTAAATTCGCGGAAGCTTAATCGGCGAAAGCCGCTTAGAACATATAAAGACTGTGTGGTCGCCATAGATAAGGGCACTACCGCTAGCTGAAGAAGGGCCAGGCGAAGGAATGGCGCCGCTCTGAAAAAAAATCGAGGTGGCTAACGTTGACTAGGTTCGCGTATAAAGTGATTATAGTACATGCAGTGAACATCAGGAGCGTCCGCTACTATGAGTGTGGGAATTTAAAGCACGCAGTTTGCTTGATTGATGGCAATGCCAGACGCGTTCTCATATCTCGGTCACTTCCCGAACTGAGCAAAGAGGTATCTAACATTGATTTTAACCTGCTTGTTCTAGCGATGTGTGTGTTTTGCATGTCCTAATAGGTACAATTGGTGGCCAAACATATCAGATTATTAATTTACTTCGAGACGCCATAGATAGAAATTACGCATGAGAATGTGAATATTAAGTAAACGACTGCCCAGAAGCTACAAAAACATTGGGACGGATGTGTGAAAAATAAAAGAAAATATCTCTAAGACATACTCAAATCATCATTCTATCTCAAATAGCTCAAGGTTGTACCACTCCAAGGTCCGTCGAATTCGCTTATAACAAGCTAATATAGTATCTCTGTCGGTATATATTGATAATATGCGCCGCTAACATAGGCTGTCACAGTTTTAGTAAGTGCATACAGCCAAATTTTAGAGGTTCGTAAAAGATAAAAACAATTGCCGACACGGACTGTACGTCTAGGTTAAACAAAATGCGAAGATGACAGCATTAGTGGTGAGCACGGACGTGGAGGCTAATTTAGCTGAAGAGATCACCCTGAACCGTCGGAAGAAAGATGTCGAAGGAACGCGGAAGACTGCGACAATGGCGGCCGCTATAGGCCGATGTGAGATTACAAATCAATTCGGTGTAAAGGTAACTCTTGAAAACCATCTCATTTTTAGCTTAGAATATTCATTACTCCTAGTTCTACTTTACGCACGTATCCATGAAATATTTTTCAGTATTCTGTTCTTCGAGACCTGTTTAATATAATAATTCAGGCTCAAAGAAAGGATGATGTGAATACAAGTAAAGGCCTAAGATGTGGCTAATGAGAGCAGACCTCTTTTTGTTTGGCTATCGTCGGTACAGCTCTGTTACAAAAGTTTTGTTTGTCACAGCCACTGTGACTACAGAGGATGCTCGTTTGTGTTTCACGCGCTACATCAGAAAAGTATCTCTAAAGATACTTTTCTGATGTCAAACAAGTCTTGTGCCTAGAGTGAAAGTGCGGAGAAGATGAATGAATAATCTGCATATGCTGCTTTGATTGACTATACCTTTTGCTAAGATCAACGTTCCGGAAGTCATTCGGATGGAACTGACCGCCGGGTTAGCACTCGCAAATAAAGCAAGAAATGCTATCAACAAAAACAAGCCCCATGACGCCCTTGCTTTTCTACTCGAAGCCGAGACGTAAGTTACTCATTTCGGCAGCTTCTCTTAGTTGTCAAAGTGCATTTTCCTTTAATTGAGATAAGAGATATAGAAAATCTTTTTCTATTTTAAGTGGTAGACTTACGAGTAAAGAACAACATGGCGTATCCAGTACAAACGATTTATCTTGCTCACTGGTTTTACATTTCCTAGGCTACTGAACGCTGTTCAGGAGCACGCGCCAGATTTGCTCTCGAGCTCGGGTAATATTGCACAACTTCAATTAGACGTCGTATGGTGCTTTCTCGAGATCGGATCCTTGGCTCATCTTGAAGATGCCGAGAAGAGGCTACGCCTGGCTGAAACCGGCTTAAACGATGTTTATGGCGCCAACCTAGAAAAGGTGCTGCCATTTTTAGATAAATAAGTAAATGCCAATGTTTCAAAAAAGTTTTCCTAATATTGGCTTTTCATCTCTGAACTGTGTTTCATAAATTAATTGCGAGGAATAAAGCTCGAAGTCGTTTTTTATGTAGTCATTCAATAAGTAACTCCATGTAGTTATATGAACGTCGTAGTTTTATGCCCAGTGCTGCCGTTATACGTTGTTTTGGACTTACAGTAACATCCTAGGTCCATTTTCCTTTCCACAAAATACGGGAAGTCGAATTCGGGTTTAAAACATTTCTGTGCTAGTTGTACAGGTTTCGAGAGATTTAATGACTTGGTAATTTTCGGGAGTTGGCGAGATAATCGTGGGGCAAGTAAACCTGAACGATGGACTTCAGAAACGTTATTAGAGTATTACTTTGGCAACCTATCACTAGAAAACGAGGCTGCTGAAGAAAAGGGAAAGGCATTTCAGGTCCAAAAATAATTGAAGCAGTCAAATTTTTGTGGTAATGGCCAATATCAATCGTTACATATGATTTGTAAAGTTTAGAAATAATTGAATGGAAATAACAGAAAAGTCATTTTTTTTATTAATTAATTTATTTAGTTTGTGTCAAAGTCGTTGTAGAAAGTGCAGAAAACTTTCGCTAGGAATTTAAGATGGGAAAAGATAAAAAAAAGGGTTCGACGTTAAAGATAGATTACCACATTCCACCCTTTCGTTATTATTCTTTGTACGTTTTTCGGCTTCAGACTTGTACAGACGTATCCGCAGCCTACTCATTTTAGCGATTTGAAATGCTGGGATGTGCTCTCTATAACATATTTAATATTAAATTGGTACGGTAAAAGCGTGCGTAGGGTTCTTTTTGTTTGCTTGTGAAGCTGATTTGCGAATAGTACCTGCGTTTTCAGGTACTGAGCGTCAAGGGTAGCGCAACAAATGAATTAACGCAGCTAACACGACTTCAGCTTCTCAAAGGGGTGGCCGCTTTCTATAAGGCCAACTACGGAGAGGCAAAATGCTTTTTCGAAAAGGTAGATATTGTTACAAGTACTATTAGGTAAAAAACTTCGCTGTTCAGATTTTTTAGGCTGTACCGTACTGTGTGTTCACGACTTTTTCGGCCAGACCTTTAAATCCTAAATGTCACCGTCCGTCAAGGAAATTGCCTATGTGAAGTTAACGCGAGTAATGTGTTCCCAACTAGCAACTGATTTTCCTACCCTAATCAGGCAGTAATGTATGATAATTGCAGCTTTTTTAATAAAGTGGCTCATATCATTCGTTTCCTCTGAAGGCCAACGGGTACTTGAAAAGACTGCACGTGGATGAAGATCTCATATCGCAGTTAATTAATCTGGGCTACACGACACAGGAGGCGCGACTCGCTCTCCGACAGGCAAACAATAACATTGAGTTAGCTATGAATCTGCTATTAAACAAGCAAGAACAACGTGATAAGGAGCAGCGGCGATGGGAAGATGAGCAAACAAACAAACATCTACAGGTAATTCATATTAATATGCTCGACCTTTCTTAGTTTGACTCATTATGATGCTTTCTACCTCAATTTTTTAATGGCTATCGCATTGTCTTCTCTTCAAGCTATTATTATGGTATCAAAATTAAGTGGGCTATTCGGCTAAAACAATAATAATGGTAAAAGTTCAATTTAGTAGCTAATTAAGTGCTCTTTAATATAGCATTACACCTCCAAAGCTAACTTAAAGATATATCTGTTCTGTGTATAGATTGCAAAAAACTGGTAAAGCTGACTTAACTTTTCTATATGTCGTTATTCTATTGGCTAAATTTGGTCAGGGCGTCAACCGCGTACTATACGACAGGCTATTGTCTGATCTTGGAGTAACTGCGTATGTGGCTAGAAAGGCTTTACTTGAAACTGGAAACGATTATAGAAGGTACCTTCTTTAACAATAAAACATGACGAACTTGCAACGATCGAATATGTCATCTTAAACATGGCTATGGCCAGTGTAATATGCTATGTACATATGTACAAATTGTTTTCGAGTATCTTCTTAGTATTCCATAATATATTTGCATGTTATTTCTCACAAAAGGCCAATGCCAAAATCAGAAAAGGAGAAGGAGAGTACTCCGAAGAATAACTGGCCATATTCATCAACATCCCTGTAGTAACCCTGTTACCTTTGGTTTCTCCATACAGAGCAGAAGCGCTGGCCATCGAACTGGAAAATGATCGACAAGCAAAAAAAAGGCGGCGTGAGGAAACAGCCGAAGAGCAGGAGAGGTACAGTTAAAAAGCTTAGGCGTTTCGCTAATTGTACTTAATTACAGAGGTGCTACTGGGTGAACGAGGCAGTATAAACTTGTACGATTTCTATATGCCAGGCATCAAATACAAGGAAAGGAAGGCTATTCCTAACAGAATTTTCGATGATGCTCTAAAAAAAAAATAGAAAAAGCGAGACAATAAACGAATTCGTGCTTATGATTCTTCTACACCTGAAGAATGCCTTCAGAACGGCGAACTGGGATCTCATCACGAAAACAGCTAAAAGAAAAGGGAGTTCTCCGTACCTACGGATATTAATCTTTCTTTTCTTTTTGCTACCCCCTACCCTCGGAATTCGGCTACCCCCACTCGGTGAAATTCGGTTTACGACGAGTACATTAACATTAATTGACCTTAACGCCGATGATTTGGTCTTGCTGGTCACTTCTTAAAAGGAGTACGTTTTTTAGGAAAAACAAGATTTACACTAGCCGAGATAAAGACTTGTATGGGAGATCGTTTGCTCGATGTTGCATCAGGGACGAAGAAGGTAATTCATTTAAAAAACAAAGGAGAGTCAAGGAATGGAACTCTGGTTGAGTGAAACGCTAATCAAAATTAAGGGAAATTCAGATCCCGGGGTGATTTTCGATACCCGAGTCGATTTCCGATTCAAGGAAAACATGCGCGTAGAGTATGTAGCAGGGAAAGAAGCTATGAAAAGCATTCTAAATATTGCGAGGCTAATTTACATAGTATAATGTGTAAAGTAAAATGTGTAAAAGTAAGACTCCTATTGACGACAGAAGCTGAATCTGTTACACTCTACGCTGCGCTTGACTGAGCTACAAAAGAAATAGACTCTGAAGCGGAAAGCGTTCTTTCGCCAACGCACCCCCCATGCCTTGAAGTAACAGGATTTTTTTTTCGAGCCTTGCAGAAATCCCTCAGAGAATTGTGGTTAGTGGGTGGTCGCTCTTTTCTGAGGGATCCTCAGCAACACCAAAAAATCAATGCTTTTTGAGGTCAGTGGTACCCTATACTTAAACCTGAAAGTGGACCATCCAGGGAAATGTGTCCGGGTGCGCCAGTCCGTTACCAAACTTCCCATATCTCCTAGAGCATAAAAAAGACTAAACACATAGGTCCAATTGGATTTAGATTAACAGTAGGCATTTTTTTTTTATTACATGAGCATTCTACTAGCGTGTGTAATTCAATGTATGCTCTCTAAACCTTTCTAAAATTAAATACATGAAATAGCACATTAAAGTAAAAATGTTTTTAGCAGCGTTTGATAATTTGCCCCATTGTCTACTCGTAGTTCCTTCGCCCCCGCTGCCTCTTCAAGCGGTGGTTGTTCAGTTCCTCATCCGAAACACGTCGCTGAACTTATTGCTATGGGAGAATCTGAGGAGAGCGCTAAATACATCCTGGAATTCTTTAAGGTACGTTAGAAGATGAGTCATTTCTTTATGATGACAGCGATAGGACTGAGTGTCGTTAAATCACCGTAGTGTCATAATAATAAACAATAATAAACAAAGGTGTGTTATAGAATATATTTCTAAAAATGACTCCTTTATCAAGGCCTGGTAAATATCTGTTTCGTTTTCTACACTAATCTACATGCCACAATATAACCTCTATTTGTCCTTGACTTACCACATTGTATATTGCGTACTATGGCATTATGTGAGACTGTAAAAAATGGTAGATATACTTAGCCTCGATTCACATAATACGAATTTGATACATAATAGCTCATAAATTATTGTGATAAACATCTTACCTGTTAGTAATAATCTATCGTTATGCATAATTTAGGGTGACTTGGATGCCGCACAAAATTTTTTGCTTACCGGGACAGATTCCCAAGGATCTCGATTGAACAAGCTGATCTCCGACCTAAGAAGGCAAGTATCCTGATCTGGGATAAATCAGACGTCAGTGTTAGTTTCCTAAACAGAAAAGATTCTCATGACGCTCTTTCGATGCACGCCCAAGTTCTTCTTCCATTTCGGTATTTCTTTTTTCATAATAACGTACCTAGTTATGCATTTTTTGTAAATATTCTTTGTTTGAGCAGAACTTGAATCAAGCTCAAAAATCCAACCTTCTCTTTTTCGAACAGGCTAACAATCTTGAATACTTTACACTCAGTTAAAAACGCATTAAAAGTAATTTGCTGGCATGATCTTTCTCTTGCTCTCTGGCTCTTGTATTCGTCTAGATTCGTTAGTAACGAGACAGATGACTATCTCGATTCAACACTGGAGAAAGAGACGGAGTGTTTCAACACGTTTACGCTTCGGCTAGCTGAAATCGAATCCACGTCCAAGGGCGTCCAATAATCACAGGCTAGGCGATATACTTAAGATCCTGTACATGATTTTCTTTGCTGTGCTTATTTTTGCTTTTGATAAAAAGGTCGAAGTTGTAGATGCATTTAATGCCAGAAGTGATCAGAAACGGCAACACTGAATGGTTACAATATCCACCTATCGAAAGGCCCATTAACAATCTGCAAATTTGACGAATAAACAGGTTGTAAGTGCGCGGGCGTCTTTAGCCTTAACATGTATGCTCAAATCGGGAATTTGGAACAGCTGAGAATAATGAGAACACGTAGACGACTATGACTTGGGTCAAATTAGAATTGTAGATCTTCGAGCTGTTGTTGTTGTCGTCCATAAAGAGAATGAAAAGCAAAAACGCCATAACGATAACACCGAGCAAAGCCTGTCGCGTTTTTTAATTAACACGCTTTCGTGATTCGCCATTGTCTGACGCTAGTCCATCGGGTATCATAGATAGTGAGTGCAACGCACTTCGTTGCGGGGCTTGTTTTCAGAGTTCTACCAAGAGTGGCTCTAATGCTATTTTACGATATCTAAGTTTCTAGTTCGACGATTACGTATTAATTACTTTCTGTGATGATGTCACTCATGTTGTGTGCACCTCTTACAGATGGACGCGCGTATTTCTTTAATGACTTCCGTAGATGATGGTATGCTTAATTCATAATATGTTGCGTTATATTCATGTTTCAACCGTGTATTTACGTCACACCTTATCGTATCATTATGTCTTTTCTTATTTAACTTAATTTTCGCAATGCACAGAAAGAAGTTTGCTGGAGCATGTGAATGTGTCGCTCCTGATGTGAGTTTTTTCGGTTCGGCCAAATAATGATGCATTCAACTGCAAGGGTAACTACACGGTCGGCTTTTCTGGAGCAGCAAATGTTCGCCAGAAGTCTGTTGATACTAAGTGTACGAGAGAAGTTTGCAGTGATGCCATAACACGATGATAATAGAAGATTCCTGTTATTTGTGTAGAGGTTATGTGTCAATCCAGCTGTAAGACCAATTGGAGTGGAGTGTCTAAGAACGATCTTCACTTTGCTCATAAGTATACAGTGGAGTCTTTAATGATTTTGGTAGTCACGCTTGGTGGGGGGAAATGTGTTTCTGTCTGAGCAGAAGGATAGTCGGCGATACACAAACTAAAAATGTGTATTTAATTTTTACGGGGGAGGGGGCAAAAAAATCAATTGCATTCGAATACGAATATAAGACTTTAATTTAATGACTGTTTCTGACAGTTGCTGCTTACGCTTTTATTTAGATTAAATTTATTATATATTTAAACTCCTCTCCTATTTCAAGTAAGAGAAACTCTATGTACCAAAAATGTTTTGACCACACGTGCTTTGCGATATGTATGCTAAGTGAGAATGAATCGGATAAACGTGGAGTATTATTGGCCGTTATTATAGATCCCACGTAGGTTGTTTTTTCCATGATTAGATGATTCTTGGTATTAATTTCGCTGGAATTTATCTAAGCAATGCCGTTATTGTAGGCGAGTTGGGCCCCTTTGGGCTTACCCCTTGGAATTTACCTGATTTCAGTAAATTTTTCTTAATCTTATTTTGTGGCACTAGTCGTAATCAGGCTTTTCCAGTAAGAGAGAACCACCTGTACCGTCTCCAAAAAAATTGTCACAATTGTTCATCCAGAGAAGATTACAATGAACTCGTCTCAGATCTTATTTTATTACAATATTATTACATTATTATTTTTATTTCGTCATTAGTTTATAATTTAGTTTATAAATGATATCTCTTTCCTTTATTCAATCATAGCTGTATGTAATCCTCTGATGCATATATATATATATATATATATATATATATATATATATATACAGGTTGTACGTTGTGCTGAAGATGATTGTGGATTACCGTTGAACCCATATATATATATATATATATATATATATATTGGGTTTTTTTTCGAAATCGACGACACTCGAAACATTCTTATGGCTTGTATTATAAATCTTTACATTTGAACTATGACAATGTATGGTGAAAGATACTGTCCTCTTCCTTGAATTACATTTTGGTGATCTATGCAGTCCACATACGTAGTTACGCCTTTTTGCCCATAGTCAAGCTGAGGTCTAGATCAGAGTCTAGTCCGCGCTTGGCCGCTGTCCGCTCCCATGGCTTTTTTGATGATATATCCCAGCTGCGTGAAAGGATTCACTCATTTCGCAACACTTAAACAAACACATACTTTTTCTTTGTTTACGGCACATTGTGACAGAATTCCCGTTGGCGTACGCCTCGCTGTCCCAGAAATCATTGTTTCGAAGCGTTTATTCTTCTTCCCCATCAGCATGAAGATTAGAGCACCAAAAACAACTGACTAGATCCTGGGATGCTAGAAGAGTGGCAGAACCTCAATCCGCATCTCAACGCGCTCAGAATTATTATCATCGTTTCCCGGAGATCATCCTCTATATACTCCTATTAAAGAAGTATGGCTGACTCCATGCGTGGTTGAGTGAATGCTCATTGATTCACAATGTGGTATGCCCCCAATGTTGGGGATTGACATGATGCTGAAGAAGTTTATGAAAGCAATGATGAAGATGTTCCATGATATTGGCGAGATGGCATTAACAGACGAAGGTTGACGAAAAGTGCGACGACACCTGAGTAGTATTATTATTCGCAGCGACGTAATCGTGCGAATTGAGCTCTGTAAAATAACCACCGATTCAGACCAACGTTGTTTTGTATTGGGAGTTCAGTCTGAACGTATATATGTATGGTTCGTCGTCGCAAATACGTAAATGGTTAGGTTTCTTTGTTCTGGCAGCAAAGAGGAAGCGGGGTGGGAGATCGACATGCCCTTGCTTACACCTCGCTAGACATAATGTACCTTTGCGTTCGTGGACTGCTCACAACTGAATGATTTTCTGGAGTTTTGTCATTCGCAACGTTGTTGCCACTGAGCGTTTGGGAACTTGCATCAAGATTTGTGCTGCTTTGAGAACTGAGGTTTAACGAGGGATTCGGCGTCACAGGATTGCCTGTGTAACTGAATCGGTGTTGGGGCAATCCACTAGGCACGTACGCGGTTAGGTTCTGCATTGAGGTTCTAATCTCAGTGGGATTACTGAGATCTTCCACAAATTGTTTATGCACGAGGGTACTCGGTACGGTTCCATAACTAGGCATTGACACTCCGTTATAGATAGCACTATGGGGTGAAACAACAGTGTCCTGGCTAGGCGAAGTCGTTTGAGTCGAAGCGGGACCTTTCGGTGATGTTGACGCCGGACGCGGCTGAGAGCTAAAGGTTGTGGGAAGCGGTTGAGTGGTTGGCTGACCTGGACGGAATACCCTGCAGGAGTGAAAGCAGCAAATATTCGATCAGACCCAATCCACTTAACAAATCGATAAAATGATAATGATGTAAAAGACCTAAAAGTCTGATGGATAAATGAATGCATTGAAAATAGTAAAAACCAAAGGATCCAGATATGTTACTCGAGATTCTTCTGTCTGAACATAAGCTATTTTGCGCCAAAAAAAGAGTTCCATAGATTTCCGACGTCTCTCAAAGCGAAATTCTGCAACTTAGACGACTACAGCTAGACCTTCAATGATGAATAACATCGTAAGGGAGTAGGAAACCAGAATAACGACGCGTAAGACTAAACCATACCGTTCCATATGTGTTTGGTAAGAGGGTGGACGTGGCGGCCTGCAAAAAGGTTTTTTGACGCCTGGATCATCCGAAGATATATTCATGCCGATTATTGATGGCAATGGTGTACCACTGTTTTCTAAAAGCGAAGGACTTCGGCCGGCGGTGGCCGGTTCGCGCGTGCCGAAGGATGATAACATAGGACGCCGATCCAATCGACTTAGGGTTCGTGCGGATACATCAACACTGCTTGGAGGCGGAAGACCAACTTCGTTGAGATTAGCGTTTGGCAAATGAAGGTAGCTGGACGACAAAGGTCGTGTCCGATGAAGAAGGACTGGCATTGGTTGTACAGAAGCCGGGTCGAGACTTCCAGGCCGCCGCTCTGCGTCGCCCTCTTCCTCACCAGATGATTCGCCAGAAGATTCATCGAGCTTAAGACCAAGACTAGCTCGACATTCCATTAGTTTTGACCACCGGGATTCGCCAACAATACTCGAGTTCTCCCCTTGTCTGCAAGTGAAATAATGAAAAAAAAACATTAATTTAGATCTGAAAAGCTCTTTCCATCTTTAGCATTTATTATCCGTCTACTTATCGAATTTGTGAATATCGAGAAAGATATCGTGATGTATACAACTTCAGATTAGAGTTCTGCAACAAAAATGTTTTGTTCGTCTGTATGGGCGAACGTACTGTATCGGTGCTGGGGATGAACTTCGTCCCAATGGACTTGTTCTCCGTCCTATTTTCGATTCGGCGAAAGCCTCGAGGGAATGATCAACATCTTCATTGTCATCGCCTTCTTCGTCTTCATTGCCTGGGTGATTTCCATTGGCGTCTCTTGGCATCAGGTCTAGCGATTGAAGTTGTGTAATCGTATTTCTCTCCAGTGTTCGAAGCTTTTTCTCAAGATCCTGGAAGAGATCAGGGTAAGCACTCTGATATGCTCATACAGGGCAACATGGCCCACCATTTGCACGCAATCGAAAAATAGGCATGAAACACAAACGTTTACAAATCCGACTTGAATCTCAAGCAACACAGCTGAATCATTACATATAACGTATATTTGAAATACTTCGGATTATCAGTTTAGTATCGCCGTTAAGCATTGCCTTAGCCAGAACTTTGCTGTCACGATAGAACAAGCACGGTGCCACCTACTTGTTTTGACTCCCCAATTTTATCATTGAGCTCTTGTTTGTCAGCCTCTAACTTTTTCTCAAAGTTTTTGAAGAATGGTACGCAATAACAGCTATACCCTCGACCGACAGGCCCTTTACGTATATTTCCTGCCAAATCAAGATAGTACTGCTCCCCTTTGGCTAAAGGGTCAGGCGGCAACGTCTCAATCTTCGGGGTGGGGAAGCCTGCCATGTTGTGCGGAGAATGCGGGCAGCCATACGGTCCTACAGGAATGGCATGCGGTAAACTCCTGGAACGTTGCATCATACCTCCTGAGTCGTTTTTCGTCTTCGTCTGGAACAACAGAAGTTGCTCGTGTTAAATTCCAATTTCACTTCTCTAGGGAAGTTTTGGATTTTTGGAAGTGTGTTGAAATATCTAAGTATTCAGGGGGATTTTATAGCAAAGAATAAATTATCGTAGGTGTTATCAACAAAAATAACAATATGTAAAACAACTTGCACACGAAATGTTCTACTCTTAATTTCAACGCTTAACGTGATTCCATAAAAACTTTGGCATTAATAGTCGGGAACATATCATTGTAATGTAATAATCATATTAAGTAGAAGTGGAAAGTGTTCTTTAGAACCTTCTTTTTGCGCCTACTCGCGCAGTTGTTGCCTCCTGGTTTCCCACTACTTGTAGAAGTGTTCGGATCCTTTTCCCGCTTTCGTCCTTTGCCGTCCCGCTCATCTCGATCTAGTGTTTCGATAGCCGCGAGTGCTCGTTTCGGTGGATCTAGAAGCATCTCCTCCAGTTCGGGAAATTGCTTTCGTCGCGCTATGTCTAATGCGGATTCACCCTAAAAGTACGTATTTTCGGGTTCGAGCCTTTATTTCATACAGTAACTTTGATTGATTATGTATGTTATTCGCTTCACGGTGGCCAACAAATCATTCCAGCATAAACGTTGGTAGGCCGACGTACCTTAAGTATACCCTGAAAACCCTAATACGTGTCTTTGTCCTAAAAATAATAACTCGAGTTTTGAAGCATACGACCTCTGCATTTTGTATCAGTATACATTCAGAATTGTTCTTATCGTCTTGATTTGATTTTTAAGGTAGGAGCTAAAGAATGCGTAAATATATAAACATAATATTTAGAGGTAAACCACTGCAATACGTTTTGAATAAGGATTAATTCACTATACACGCAGCATTAGCAATTATTAAATAAATTTCCTTGCAGTTCTTATCGTATAACAAACCTGCTCATTCTTGGCGTGAACCGCGGCTCCAGCCTCGAGTAAAATCTTCGTCAACTTTCTTTTGCGCATTGCAACAGATATATGTAACGCTGTGTCACCATTCTACAAGGCATGGAAATAAACAGACCGGTGAGCGATAAGTTTTAGTTAATATAGAAAGGGTTATAATCTAAATTTATAATATACACCATATAACTCAGAACTTGTGATTGTTCTCATACTATAATGCCAAATACAATTTTGAGGCCTCTGTGTTAACTAGTAGCTTCGTTCAGAATAAACTATCGGTTTCCAATAAGATGGATGTTACAAGTAATTCTGCTATAGTATGTAATACTTTAATAGGTAAGGGTTAGCGGAACACGGTGTATTTTGTACATACTAACTATAAGGACACAAGTTTGTATAATGTAATGAAATTCAAGCGTGTTGTATAGGCGTTTGACGTGTTACTAAAATAGACATTGCTGAGCAATCAATACAACTAGCGTATTAAAAAAATGGCTTGCTTCAAGACCAGAATATCTGCCAACGACGACCAACAAAAGAACCTCCTCTTATTTTTCTGTCAAATTGACAATGGCAAATATACGTCGCGGTATTCTTCTACAGATAAATAAAAGGTCACAGTCCCAATAAAGAACAGGCAGCATTGGGTAGCACCTATTTAGACTCTAAAATCGTGTAACAGCTTCTTCGTTCTATCGGAACACACAACGAAAAGCAATTTGTTTATGCAATCGTTTATTATGATCAACAGTAACACTATAGTTGATAGTAATAATACATATTTAATGGTAAGCATGTAACCATTATAATATAATGCTGACACCGAAAACATAATAATCGCATGATTTATGCTTAATTGCCCCGTATCCTTTACCTTTCGATACAAACTGGTCGAAGATACGAAGATAATTTTTAGTAGATCGTTCCTTTTCGTCGTGTGTCCTAAGGTGCATTAGAAAACGCCGTACTCGCTAATATTTGTATCTGATAAAAATAACTTCCACCGTGGTTATAGCTTCACTAGGTCATTACTGTAAATGTGGAGTTACATGTTTAAGAGAGATATTTTTTTCTGAATGACTATTCCATTTTTTGCTGGTAAGCTACTTTTTGCATAAATGACCATATAAACGCATCGCCATATAAAGTTCCATCATTGTCCCGCACGGACAACTCAAGATACGTCGCGTCGTAGGCAACGTAGTATTTACGATTTGCGATTTCGTTTTTTCAATTCGGTCATGTATATCATTGCATCGAAAAATGTAAGATTCACTTTAGTCTTCTTAATTTCCAAAAAATCGGCATCCGCATCTGCATATACGAAAAAAGACCGAGCCCTAACAGGGCTCTAGTTGTCCTGGCTAATACGTCTGCAAGAGAAACCATTCACAGATGGTCGCAAATCACCGGGTTCTGCCAAGCATGACTGTGTGATGCCATAAATAATACACTGTTACGATACTGAATATGGAGATTGTATAACCTCAACAACAGATGCTGAAAAAAAGGAATTTTTCTATAAAAAAAAAAAAAAAACAAAACTAAAAAAAAAATTTGTTTCTTTATGTTATATCTTTTTTATCTCGTATCATTCTGTTTTTTTGTATATTTTCTGTTCCCGTTTGTTTTTATTTAGCCAATACCTGTCTCGCTAGTATATAAACTGTCTATGCCCATCTGTTGTCCAGTCTCTAGACCTCATTTGCAGTTCTGCTCGACAGTTCTATGTATATATATATATATATATATATATCTATGTATATTTATATATATTTATATATATATATATATACAGTCCTGGGGATCAGCGACAGACAGACAGACACATCGATGTTATTGTTGTCAGTGTAGACGGAGATCAGGGAAATAAAGTGTGTCGTTGCTTCTGGTTCTTTCGCTTGGTCTGTTTACCGTTGAACCTTGTTTGAATGGACGAATAATGCATGGATGGCGGATGGACGAGTGAAAATGCTAAAGGACGACGAAGTTTGCTGGTACTTCTCATCTACAGGCAGCATTTTTTGCTGTTATAATTGTTGTTTTTGCTATTATCGAGGATGGCTTGGTCACGACATAACACGGCGACATAACGACAGCGAAGCGAAGTTGTTGTTCAAGCCGTCGGCAACAAATGAATCCAACAAGATAACAACCACTACCACATCAGCAGTAAAAGCCGCTGCCATGGCGCGTTCAGTAAAGATGCTGGCGGCCAAGCAACAAGGTGCTGCTGATGCAACTGCTGCACCGCCGGCGTAAGGGACGAGAGGTGAATTGGCAGTGGCCCGTTAACGGTGACCAGAGAAATGGGCGCAGTCAGCAAGCTCTCCCTCCTTCATTTAAATGGGCGTTGTTTAACGCCCTGATATATATTTACCATGGGCTAGATGGGGAAGAAGGAGCTAAAGAAACGATATCAATGAAAAAAAATTCACCACTGGTAGGGTGTCCCAGGTAATCTAACAACAAGGAGCTGTACAACAACAGCGACAGTAACAATCATAAAAATAAAAGCAGTAGCAGAAAAATAGGTAGGGCAGGACAAAATAAAGAACAATGTCGAAAAACTTGTCAGAACAAATATTATAAAATTAAAAGTTGAAGTGATCTCATCTAAACATACAATGGACGACAGTAAGATTAGGTAAAGAATGAAAACTAAGTGAAGAGCTAACAGAAGGATACAGCATTCATTGAAGCCTCAGAAAGGAAACGGGGAGCTACGATAGGATGCAGCACTATCAGTGTGATAGGCTCGTGTGATCAGCATAATTATCCACTGCCGCTAGTTCATATACGTGGACGCTTTGCCTGCGTGTCTATCTATCCACCTTGTCAATTGGAATCAAATCTAACATAATTAATAAGCAGTGATTATCAAAATCTGTGACGATCCGCTGATCCCAGCCAATACAGATAAAGTGCTGAGACGGTACATTGGGCATATTAGTTTGCAACTTAAGTTGTCTAGTAAACTTTGTTCAGCCCTAGATTTAACGTTAACTAAAAAAGGATGCACAGATCGAAATTATGTAATGCCACAGGAACACTAATAATTTATTGACGGTCTTCTTCTCATATCGCCTTCCTATGGATACCTATAATATAGGATAGTAAAAAAAGACCATGGAATTTTCTGTTCGTGGTCGTTCGTCTGATGTGGTGTGTATGGCGTTGATGTAGACACGAGGCTGATGAGGCAGACTAAGAGCTAAGAACATGCAAAAAATGAACACTTACAAAATAATATTCCCTTCGGTAGACGTAACCCTATTAGAATAGTCTAACAATAACCACGAAGATCATTACGTTACGGTCATTTCGTTATCTCGGCTTTGAACAGAAACGCAGTCACAAGAAAAAACCTATTTGAAATTCTTCAGACTAGACCACAGGAAACGAACTGGAATAAGCTTGGTGTTAATTACTGCTAACAATTATATATGCAACGATTGGGAACGGATGTCCTTTATCGGCTAGGTCTACTACAGGTTTTTCAGAAATATTAGAAAAGTCAAGGCTTCTGTCACGCAGCTTGTCCCGATTTGAAATTAGTAGGAAGTGATTTCGTAGTCGGGAGCCGGCGACAACATTCTTAGAGCGCCGATAATATTGTCGTCGGCTTGACAAATTAGCCTGTCCTATGTCATTTTAATTCTGCCCATTTTGTTGCCTATATCCATAACGTTAGCCAGTGCTCGCTTGGTAGAGGGTTTCTTGTTTGGATGAAGTTGTAAGACCGTACGATTATCTCCGGCTTGCTGGCGGTCTTCTCTGGTGCTCACCCCGCCTTTGGTCGATTGTTGCTTGTATTTGCTACAACAGAAACAGCGACGACTGTCAAAACCATCGGGGAAGAGCAATTAACGCTCCATAAAATTCTAATCAGAATCGATTTCAACTCCTAAACAATGTTGTACCCGAGGAGCCATGGAAAACCGTATGTGCTATAACAGTAACCATAATACCACCGACACATATTTGGACAATAACAACAAAAGAACGCCAACCATATTATGATACTATCGGACGAACAGCCCGGCGACGGTAGCAGTAGCGACCACGACTTTAGTTACTGCTAAAAGCAAACAATGTACGTATATTGGTAATGATGGTGCCGAATGACGAAGCAATATTGGCTTGCGAAAATAGCAGTGGCACGAGAAGCCAGCGCCAATGATGCACCAAATAACCAAACCACCACAGGGCGATGACGGCAATCAACAAAGAGGGCAATGGACAGGGGGTGGTAGGAGACATCCGTGACGTGGGGCGGCTAGAAGACCAATCGGTATTGGCGCATGCGTGTATCGCCCAGCATAAACACTCGACAAATATCTATATTGAATGATACGCGGTGGAAATGAACGGAAATTTGACCATCGAACGATTTTTTCTTGCCTCCCACTTGCGTCGTTGCGCTCTGCCATGAACATTGTCTAACGTTGTAAACCGCGTCATAGTGGAAACAAATTTAAACTCAACATAGGGGCCAACAGATATTTATTCCATGCCTTGCCGAAAAACAAACATCTCTTTTCTGCTTTAGTGTAGTCGAAATCTGTTGAATCTGAGATCGGTATGCATATGTAAGTGGCATTATTCTCACTCTATACAGATATTGACTTGCGGCTTTTTATAGCCCTGATCTGAAGCTTTCGTGTATGTCCTAGTGATATCTGGCAAGGCTCAGCACACTCATTACGACCGTGCATTTACAAGTGGCGGTAACTACAGCATGTTGAAGTGTAGTTGAAGACCTAGCTGAGCTCAGTTCGCGGGATTCATTTTATGGGAACGACGCGGAAATCTATTAACAGTTTGGTCTTATGAATCGTATATTGCACAATTACACTATGAGACATTCGAAAATCTACTAGAACTAAGTCTTTCGGTTTCCAGTAATGATATATTCAACAATAGTAATACTTTATGCATGCTTTGGTGGTGTAAGGCAAAAATGAGGCCAAATAAGATATTTTTAGAAGAAGAAAAATACCGAGGTTATCGAACCCTAACCATTAAATAACTAAATGAGAACGCTTTACATAAATAAGGCAATCTCAGGGATCAGTCCATGCGACAAACTCGCGCATAGGTAAATGGTTGTAAAAAAAAATAGTAACCCATACTTAAATACTGGGTCCCTGTCAGCAAAGGGTTCCACCGACTTTTAGAGTACATTTGACTAAATTTCGGCTGATATGAGCTTTTGAGAAATCGGCGCGTTTACACACGTTTTTTCACTCTAGTCCGCACTCACAATCGTTTTTTTCGAAAAAAAAAAAAAGTTAATTTGTCACAAGTAACAAATCGTTATCCATTTTACGGCCTGTTTCAGATTTAACTTAGCAAGAGTTGTCTAAAAGGCATAGCTTCTTATTGCAATATATTTGAACAACGTTAACGTTTCTACAAACACCTACACAACACGTGTGGATACATCCGTTATCACCCACGCATTAACATTATTCTTATGGAAAAAATAAAGATAATTATTACTTCAATTAGATAGCACTTGGCACTATGGTAACGTAAGGTTGACGCTAACTTTGTTTGTATTTGAACATATTATTTCTACCCACACAAACACACACGCACCGCATCAACGCTTACATAGAGATACCCTGAAGTCAAAAGAGAACCGATAATGGGCGAGTACTAATTTTCACATTCGTTTATAGCTGCATTCAAACAATGCACACATACATCAGAGATATTGATTTGGTGCGCCGTTTATCAGCAAGAACTATGTGTTGTTTGAAAAATTGGAGGCACGCATGTACGCGATTCACATCATGTAACGCGTCGATCGTTGCGTATGTGTTTTCCGTCTGTCGTCTACACGTAGCACGGTAAAGGATCTGCCCTACACCGTTCAATTATTGAGTCATAAAACAGTGACCAGGTTTTTGGCCAGGAATAAAGCTGTACCTCATCAGTTTCTTTTCCTTTTTTTTTGCCGGAGGCTCGTCAAACAGGTTAGGATTTCTGTATAATCCTTAGTTTGAGCTATCTCGTGTTTTTTTTTTTTGATCGATTACAGTATTTCCCTACAGATGTATTTCGAACTGACTTTTTTTTACAAGCACAACCTGCTTTACAGCCAGTTAGGTTCTATATATATATATATACGCCTTAGCTGCAAATCTTCCCGACACATTTGCCCGGACAGACCACAAACGACAGGATGATGAAATTCTCGATACTAGTAATGGCGTACAACGGATAAATAGTGGTGAAAGATATTATAGCTTGAAGTTATTATTATGTCTAAATAATATGTTTTAATATGGATGTATGTACCCCTCAAAGGGAAGAGGGAAGAGACGTAAAAATCAAAGCATAATATACTCACTCGGTTAGTTTCTTGCACGTTGCAAAAGGCAGAGACGAGGATACGAACAACTCCAGCGTGTCCATACCGCGTGGCTGTATGCAGTGGCGTGTCACCATACTAGAACGTCGACAAACCAAAAGCGACGATTTTAATAGTAATCATAGCTATTACGGTTATAGTGATTATTAGATAAATTTATTGCTTTCTTACCAATCACCAGTACAACGAGGATCCTGAATTTTGTGCGAATAGAACCGCTACAAAAAATAGAGACCACTGTTCATTATATAGAGAAAAGGGTGTAGACAATCTGACAACTGTGAAGTATTTGACAGACGCAACTTATTCGCGCTAAAGATGTTTTTCCTTCTGAATTTGGCCCATACTAATAGTGTGATCTACCTGAGCTGTTGGTTGGTATTTACCCTGCAAGTGTCATATTCATAAGCCGGGCCCCCCTTCCAACTCCGGGCTGCTTCCTGATGCGTGTGCTACACGAACTGTAGGAAGCTCTTCGACACATTTTGACACTTCAAAAAACTATTGGCTCGTTGGATTGGACGAATCAAAATGTACAGACAAAGTATTTTGATTGACAGTGTCCGGTTACCGTATCTAGCGCCACTCTCGTCAACGCTGTTCGACAGCTTATTTGTAATACTAACATTCGGTAATAACAACAAAATATATGAAGTCACCTCTTTAAGCAGTACTTTACGCGTATTTCAAAGTGGAAGTCTGCCGTTTGTTTCCTCGGAACAGTAAATTTGTCCTATCCAAATCACATTTTTATCGCACTCACTTCTTACTAAAAGTTACCATCGATTACTTTATTATTCATTATTGCTGTTGCGGCTTGGAAGTACACCTTCGATCGGTCCCGAATTTCCGTGTCTCGTAACAATACTCGGCCGCAATGACTCGAGTCGCCAATGCGTGACGTAACGCAAGCGTCATAATAGCGGTGGCTGTGACAATGTAACGTTTACACCGAATCGTAGTTATCTGTCTCCCATTTTGTTCGTAGCCCTCGATTTATGTTGTGCTTTCAGCCCTGAGCGACAGCTTGTTTCTCAGTTGCTATCGTTGATAGTGCTGCTATTGCTGCTACCTCAACTACGGCCAACTGGTTAGCTCAGCTCAACTTTTCTGTCTTTCCGGATGTGTTCCGTTTCATCGAAGAACGGTGGGACGAAGAACAGCATCTGATCCTGAAGTTAGCACTACTCCTGAACCAAACAGCGTCAATGCGAATGCGTTCAAACCCAAACCTGGCGGAACACGAACATAGAGATAGCAACGCTATGCAAAAAAAAAGCTAGAGGGTCTCAGAAGAACAATGTCTCATCGGATCTCTCGCGATGTTAGTACGTATTATACATGAATCAAGCTAATTATCACTTGTCAAAAAACATCCAAAACTTGTTGGAACAAACAAAAAAAGTCTCGCAGGACGGTAACAGGTCGCTTGGACGCTCCGGCAACAATCTTTACAAAAGGCATCGCATGTCGACACTGCCGCTGCACATGAGACCGGTTCGTGGGGATGTTGCTCATGAGCTAAACGCCAACTTCAAGAGCTGGTTCTCCATTGTCAGATATCGACAGACAAATGCGCTTTTTAAAGTACGAAGTTTTATGGCAAGCCACCTCTACCCTAACAAGTTTCAACTATTGCCAAGACTTATAGGTCAGTTCAACGAGCTGACAAAATGTGCAGATATCTCAGGCTTATGCCAATTAAGTTTGCAATACAGGCAAACATATGTACACGCTGGCTTCCGTAAGGCAGGTCGCACCTCAAACGTGGACAGGATGTTTTTATGGTATTTTTAATTCTTGAAAGAGACGACAACAGCAATGGCATAATTAATCAATTTAAGTTGCGATTTAGCCATTTTATTTTCGAATAGTTTATTGCTTAAATATTAGTATTTAACAACACCACCGACAACAGTTCGATATCAAGAGCTTTCTGCGTCCATAACATTCTTCTGTCCAGCATAATAACAATGAACGACCGTTCATTTTACATAAATCCAGATCCCCTAAAAACAGGTCTGGCGAAACAACGGATACTGCGTCGAGGCCTGTGTCGGCCAACAAAACGGCCCCAAACGGCGATGACGGCAGAGATAATCTCGTTGTTGGTGATGCTGCTGATTTCGACGAGCTTTGACGAAGACAGAGATGATAATGAGCTGACCTAATCACGACAAGTATTATGGGTAGGCAGGCAGGCAGGCGATGAAAAAGAAGCCAGAGCGTCAAAGTGCCAGTGATGGCGTGGAGTCCTCAAAAACAATGACCATAATGGACACTGCTTCGGATGATCAATCGCGACGAACAAAAGTTGCTGCTGCCGCTACACAACCACTTTCAACAGTTGCGACCCCCCTCTCAACACTAGTGATGACCAAAATGGCAGGAAAAATTAAGATCTCACTGAAGTTATCGTATCTTACTACTATATAGATACAGTAAAATGAGGAAGAGATATAGGGTGCAGCAAAGAATAAGGCTGTCCGGACGCGGATGACAATTAACAGTGAGTGAGCGAACGAATGACGTTCCGTTGACGTAAAGATTAGGACGCCAACAGCAACAGCAGATGACAGCTTTCACCAACGTCATCTACGCTTACTCAGCAGAGCTGCATCTATGCAAGTATTCTATATCTATGCAAGGCCCACATATAACCCAAATCATTATAAATGAGAATCGTAAATATCTTCATAAACTGTAAATCAGACGACTACCCGTTTTTTGTGCAATTCCTTAGGTCGCTGTCCTCTAATCATTGAGAGCTGGCCATATGTTAAATATGAGCCATCTTCTGCTATAACAACACTTTCGTTGTGTGTTATCCTCTTCTCCTTTTTTTGAAACTATAATTTTAACGTAATCAATATTACAGGAGTGTATCGCACTTATACTCACATTGTTTTTGACGTCTGGTCCACAGCCTTCCATGAGCAGGACACGACTGCTCTGATTATGGCCGTTCTGTGCCGCGAGATGTAACGCTGTAAATCCTGACTTATTTTTGACATAGAGATTTGCGTGAGCTTTCGCTAGCACCTAAGGAGAGCAAAAAATCATTATAAACGCAGATATTAGCTCAATGTGTCTCGAGCAAAAAATCTATGGAGAAACATACCTTATGACACAATCTGGGAACAGTAACGAACGAATAGACCAGCTGTATGTGCAGCCCAATGAATGCTTGAGTTTTGAACAAATTTAGAGCTTGATAAAGACGATCGACTCCATCAGATTTAAGTAAATCGAACATATTTAATTCCTGTTGCAAGTCCACTCTACTAAATTACGCCGTTTTTCTGCTACTTTTCTCTTGCGGAATTGCGGAAATCGTCTAGGCAGGGATGAGCTACGCGCGATCTTTTCGAATGGCCTCAATTACGACGTCCGAAACATTTGTCCATTTGCAGTTTTTCTTTCCCTAGCATCATCATCGTCATTTCTTTTGTAGTCACCGGTGCTTTCGTCAATCTGCACCGCTGCTCTTGCCGCCCCTCTTCCCTATAATTGCAGCAGACGACATACTAATAATCATTGTACTCGTTGGTGGCGCCTTCGTTCCGTTTCCCTTATGGCGAACTTTTCGAAATTACGATACATACAATGCTTACAATGGCAATAAGTGACTAAGCGATAGCCGTTAACAATAAACATTATAACTATCTATTTATTCGTCTTTAATTTGTATAGATGCATAGCTCTCTTTTCGCACGTGCAGTAACGTCGCTGGACACGCGATTTTAATTAGATATTGTTTAAGCAATCAATGTTCAAACGCCGATACCGTTAGTGTAAACAGAGCGCTGTTCCAAGAACAATATGGAGCTGCTGATAATTGTGCTAACGGTGATAATAGGGACGATACTGATAGTGGCCAATTTGTCTGAAACGCTGTAGCGCTTGCTACTGCAACTGCTGTTGCAGTCGGATCGATAATGAATAGCGTAAAAGAACTGTACACGCCGTTCATCGTCAATGGCTCCGAAACGTTCTGCAACATCCTCTAACGTACTGATGAAAGCGATCTACCGGCTTTCACCAGATATGGCTTAGCAGTCACCAGCGCATTTGCTGACGGCAACTAAGAACAGCAGGACTGAAGACAACAGCTAGTTAGGACTCATCGACTGACCGACGCGAGAAGAAGAAGAATGTCATTCCGACCATGCAGGACACAGGCCAAGAGTGGTCATTGAACAGCTTGCAAAAACCGGCCACTTAGTCACCTGGTCAAAGAAAACAGCGCCAGCACATCGCAGAGCGGTCATTGTTGTAATTATGACGCTGTCGCCATTGCACTTGCTACTGATAAGTGAATCAAGGTTGCGTTGTGTGAAGTCATATAGAACTAGAGAAAGGGAGCCGGAAAAAGATGCGGAGAATAAACCTGGATGGAACGGGTCGGACTGGAAGTAGTGTCGACGATCCAAATCTTTACCACATCTCGCCAGGAGCTAAAACTGAGGTCGCTCCACAGCTGTCATTGGACGCAGTCCCGTGTTTTCCCGTCGTCGTCGCCGCCGCCACTGTGATACATCACTCATTCTACACTTCGCATTACAAACATTCACACGTTGCCGCCGTGAGGGACACCGCTGGAGTTCATACTGGCCAACAGTCGACCTCTATTGACATCGCGACCCGCAGACAAACGCATGCGTGAGTGCGCGCGACATAAATTCTTCACAAAGCAATGTTGAGAAACTCTGAGCCAAAACGTTCTCGCTGCCTATGCTGAAATCATGTTTCTCTTTGTTATTTAAATGCGTACACATCCAATGGGAGTGTTTCTACCTGCATGTTTGTTGACGGTCCGTGTGCGTGTGTATCATAAACAAATGTTGATAATACTTGTAATGTTCGCTCGCACTAACAGAAGAGGATGCCTAGACGGAATGGGCATATCTGACAATTTGTTCGCTTTTTAAGCAGTTGTAAATCCGTTGAATATGGCAGGTAATTTCTAACGTTCCCGATACTTCTCTTTCGAACGGAGCCTTTCTGTTACCAATAGACGTCAGACAGCCTTGCATATGTAAGCCGCGACGCGTATACATTACGATATTCTATGTATTTCTTCCACAACAAAAAGTACGTTATGAATATGTATATGTGGTTAGCCAAGACGAAATCGTTCTGTGTTGATCGTAGAAAAACGTTGCTAGACCAGTATGAGTTGCATATATTTATTTTGAGCTAATTTAGTATTTAGCCTATTTGTTTTGAAGACTTACTTCAACACTTTTACTGAAACCTCTCCAGGCAGCTTCGTGTAGAGCTGTGTTTCCAGACAAACGCTCCTGCATGTTCAGTGCCCCTCCATGTTTCGCAAGAAGCCGTAACACCTCCACATGGCCATCCATTACCGCTTGATGAAGCGGCGTGTATCCACACTATAACGTTAAAAGCAGTAATAAAAGAATCGTTTTAGAGATGACCCTGTTAAAATTCCGAGTAATGATTTTCAAATCTCGAACGAAATGTTATTGAAAAGACATAAAAGAAAAGCTAAAAACCTTTCTTTACTGATACTTGGACACGATATCGTGGCGCTGGCAATTTCTTAGCATCACCAGCTTATACTGCCCGGCGTACGTCCGCCGAGCAAAAATGTGTGTGTGTGTGTGTGTGTGTGTTTTTTTTTGTTTGTAATACGATTTAGAAAGCCGGTAGACTGGAATATCTATTCACAAATACCTATTATGGATAGCAGTGTTATCTTTCTGTCTTTATGCGCATAATGCGGAATCGATTTGTATGTAGAAAACATTTTACCGAATAAGTAACTTGTAGCCAAAGACGAACACGTTTATTGAAAGTAATACTACTCCAGTTTTCGTAATTCAAGGTTTCCAATATGACAAACGTTGATTTACTCGCAAATGATGACAATGTCAACAACGATGAAAAATTTTATTACGACGAAACTTCAACGAAACGAAAAACAAGATCATTTGAATGAAATTATGTCTATTGTGTCATCGACGCGAGCTACCAGTTACACTGTAGGAACTACCCGCGTAACGTTTGACCACGATAATCCTATGTCCGGTCAGCAAAAGAGCAGCGGCCAACGGAAAGACGCACGATCCAAAAGATAACTTGTTATTCAACTCTTCGACAATTTCACTCGTGGGAGAAGACGCCAGTGGTAGCATGTAAGTTGACAATGGTTCTCACGCTGCAGTTACTGAGGGTTGGCGAACTAATATTACAATATTCGATCAATTTCAGCCTGGCTTTCTTTCTGCTCAACTTCGATGCAAGCACTCAGGTGCGCAGACCTCCCGTTGCAGATCATTTTGCGAAGAACAGACTAGACGACAAATTATCATTTCGGGTAAAGCGCTTTCTCAGTACGACGTTTATTTTGCCTGGAAACGCCACGAAGTGGCCTATATGCTACAATAAGATACTCTTTGGAAGTATCGATTTAATATTTGTTGATTCTGTTGATTATGTGCCTAGCGTAAACACCCTATAGCTTAAAGAAAAATTACATTTTCAAGCAAGGGTCATTTATGCAACGTCATTGATATAGTTTCAGGTAACTTTACGTAGCATTTGAGTGATCAGAATTTAGCCAGACAGAGGTATGGTTGTCGTTGCTGCTTCTAGGACCCGTTCAGACAAGCGACGGCTAACGAATGAACCGCAGACTATTCGTTGGTACCATTTCGTCTCCAGTATTTTTCTCACTGGCGTGCATATTCGTTCGTTCCGTGTTGCTTCGGTACCTTTCACCCATGGCAGATAATAGTAGAGGGTAAGCAAAAGACAACGGGTTGCGCTGCAGCAGGAAAGCGTGGCAATGTCCAGAATGACACCGGAACCGCTCGGAAACTAGCTTCCTGAAATGGGTAAGCTCCGATCCAGCGCATCTACTACGAAAACGTCAGCACCATATCCATGTATTTCCATTGTCTACTAACTTGTATTTCTCTAACGCCGGCATTTGCGGAGGAGTACACCCGGTGCAGTGAAGTTGGCCGGTCAACTTCACAGAATGGACGGGCGCATATCTTTTGCAGAGGCCATTCGGAGATTTTAAGCGATTGCCTCTAACTTCATACATCCCCACTCAGAAAGGCGAGTACCCGTCGTCTACACTCACGTCATTGCATTCTGTCTTCAAAGCGTTTACCTGCTAAATGCCGTGCAGCAACCTCTAATGTCGCCACTGGTCCTTAGGGCGGTGGTTGTCGCGCCTAGTTGTCGCCTGTCGTGCCTAGATGATGACAACGATTGCAGGGCTATCTCACACTTTGGTAGCTACCGAAGTAAAGATTTCAGAGCGAATATAAGAGTGTTGTACATTGTTGCCTCATTAGCTTTTCTGCATTGTTCTGAGCTACGCTCGTTCAACCAAGTGTTCATACGGTGAGCCGACCCCACCTGTAGGCGTCTTGCTCAACTTGTCACATCACACGGTGGCGATACCGATGATTCATCATCGGTATCGCCATGAGTTGTGCAATACAGTTAGCAATAGAAGAGATGGCAATCTACGCTCGCGTTGAGGGAGCATTGTAGCTAATAGGTTTTTTCTCGTCTCGCTTCGAATGGTCGCTTTCGATTTATACGAGTGGGTCGTACGTTCAATCTGCACGATTGTGCATGTACGTGAATGGAGACGTAGCATTATTACGTGGATATTATATGGAATGTAAACGGTAACGCTTCAGCGATGGTCGCTTGTTTCGTTTGCTACTGCTCCTATTGATACTATTACCTTCTGTCGGTTTTACCAAGTGTGTTCTTTTTTTTTCAAGTGCGATGGTAAGATTTCCGTCTTATTTGGTTAACTGGCTGGTAGATGCTTAATCGAACCCGTATCGCCAACTTCAGTGTTGCTACCAAGCGCTCATAATTATACTCGAAGGAGGCCAGTGGGCCTCCCAATGCTGTTATGTCAGTACACTTCTCTAAATGTAACTTGCGAAGGAGGTCTCTGTTTATTGCGTCTCTTCGTATAGGTTCCTTCGATCAGACCATGTTAGGCTGGTACCCTTTCGACTGAGTATGAATATGTTTTTCTCCCTTTTATAAACGCGTAACTTTAGCCAGCGAAAAGGAGTCTTTCCATTTCGGTCTATGAAATAAATTAGACAAACTCGGCCTGTAGGTGATTATTTTACTTTTTTTTAGGTAATCAAAGAAATAGACTCGGTCGGTTCCGCGGGCAAGAAGCTAAATTATTGACATCAGAAGCCAGACCGTAGCATGTTCGCAGTTCTGGAGCAAAATAAACAGACACAGCCGACATAAAATTATTTCCATGTTACCATGGAATACTAAGAACGAAACGTTTAGACGTAAAGTAGATGTGGGAAATCGGTGCAGTAGATAATAGCGCAAGTTGACGGTCCGTCTGAACGTCTTACGCTAAGCGGACGCTGCTCATCACCGGGAACGTCTACTTCGTGTAAGCATCAAGCAGCGGTGAACATGTTCACGTAACGAAGATCCAGATAGAAAACATTTGAGCGATAAGAAGCCTTGCACATATACGAAAAACCTCAATTGTCTTCCTCGCATCCATATGCAGTTATAGCTCATTATAAAGCTCATTTTACAGCAGTAAATTTGCACTTAGCACGCACAAATCGAAGATATATTGCTACGTTAAATGCAAACGTTAACGGCGTTGCCGGCAGGCGCATGAAAGGCAACGTTGCGAGAAATTAGCACCAGAACATACCTTTGATTACAAAAGTCCTTTTAACAGATGCGAACATAAGCAAACGTGCCCTCACGTTGCGGAAGCGGGACAATGGTAATCACTAAATGCTTATTCGTTCAGACACCCCCGTTCTGGCCCGCATTTGTCTACCCCCACTTCGTCCTCACTCACTCCGGTCAGACAATCACTCAGATTGGTCTTCATCGACCTCCCACCTTTTTGGTTCCCAAACTCTTGTCTCGCCCATTTTGTTCCACCTGAAAAAAACACCATTAAAAACGAAAACTGGGCAGGAAGATAGACGACAACGCTAGCAATAACGGTGCTATAAATGAAGTGGCCCTCATCTTCACCGTTTATCAATAGTGAATTAGCGTTGTGTGTAGACGGAAGTAACATTCGTAAGACTGCTCCAAATACGCAAGTAGAAGCTGACCGTGAAACTTTGGACTTTTTCAGCTGCTATAGTTAGCTGAGGCTTCGGTTCTCACTTAGCCATGCGACAGAACCAGACCGCCTTCGTCCGATGGTCGCACTGTTAACGAACACCTACTATCGTGTTATTGTCACGAGCGTGAGGTCGTACAGATCCTATATCGCCTGTTCTTAGTCAGAAGAAGCCACGGCAACGGCAGCAAAAGTATACATTTTTCCCTTATCCTCTCCGACCCCCAGACCCCTTGCCGTGCTTTACTCTCCTCATCTCTATATCTCTTCGTTACGTCAGTTAGCGTTTTTTTGTTTTTCTATTTTTCGCCAGAATTAGCGTTCCCGTCTTAGTTATAATCTGTTTAGCCGCTAAACAACTATGCCAGCGGCTGCTATTCCACCGGCGGTGCAACGCCATTCCACTAAAAGGGGTGTCATCTGGAAGAAGATATGCACGCACGCACGCACGCACGTACGCACGCATATTACTACATGACATATACAAACGGGAATAAAGTGAAGGAGAACGAGAAGACAGAACAGAGGGATCTCGTCTACCGCCGCTGTCGTTTTGTTTCTATGTGTTCTTCTTTTTTCTCGATGAAAGCAAACGCTCCTGTCGAGCAGGACTCGGGTCTATCGAAACAAAAACAAGCAAAGGATTAGAAATGGGTAGTACGAGCCGAAGGAAAGAATCGCACATGTTTCTCGGCCCATAGTGCAGTCGCTTCATTATTTTGTTGTGTGCATCGACGATCGTCCGGAGTGGCTATTGCTAAACGCGCTCCCGCACAGCGCTGTGAAAACGGGCGGGCCACAGAAGCTTGCATAAGCGGCATAAAAGGCACTACGATATCAACGTTGAAAGGCAGATAGATACACAAACGGACTTCGAAACGTCGGAATAGAGGCGCCAAGTGATGAAGTACGTCGCAGTAGAGAAATCAATTTGATCTATCTACCCATACGTGCTTCCGACGCGCGGCTATGAAGCTACATAACGACCATTCCGATCGATGGTGATACAAAGGTAGTTAGTGATCAAGTCGCCCGAACAAGGGTAACAAATCAAAAGGGTCCATTTGAAACGATCTTCTTAAATAATGCACCTAATTACGATCTTCGTATTCAGCTTCGTAGATAAATGTATCGATTACATTTACAAGCTAAAGCACCACATGACTCTATAGTGAAATAATGGCTTTTATGACCCTTGATCTACATCAAGGATTATGCTTCGTTAAGGCCTGGATACCTACCATCGGCAAAACAATCACTACGTTTTATCTAACCGTAGATCGTATTACTAAAACAATGATTTTCAGCCTGAAGCTCGTGCCTAATGGAGAAACCGTTTTGTGCTCAAAAACTGCTCGTATTGGCTGTATGATTATAGCGCATGTCCATATCTACGAAACGATCAAGACCGTTTACTCTCATATTCTAGACGGCCACGGAATATGTCGATAGATCATGTTAATATAATAATCATGGTTGTGGTTCTTACAATTTGCAAAATAATAAAAGTACCATTATTGCTAAGAAAAATAATAACATGATAAATGAGGCGTAATATGTGTTCAGGCTATCGCCGATCCAAACACTGACAATGTACCGATATTCTAACCAGGTAGCGGTGTATCTACAACAGGAAAGGATTCGAAACAAAAAAAGGAAGTACGATTTTTTTGTTCAAACAAACGTCCGGGATATGTGTGTGTGTGTATATATACTAAGATAAATATTTCCGCGTAATGTACGCTTCGGTATATCTTCAAATCTATTAGTATTCGTTGAATCATGAACAGGGACGCTGGATGTTCATTAGTCACACGCGCGGCCAGTAGAAACAATCGGGAAGTGTTATATGGAAGATTTTTGAATGTGGCCATATCTAATAATAGTATTGATTGCCGTATACAATCAAATATCGTATCACTCTGTTTTATCCGAGCTCATCAGACATTACAGATTCGAGTATTACATAGGCAGTGTTCAATTGCGGTAACGACAATATGACCACGGCGCAGTGATTTGCTAGTCCGCTGCGCAAGATACACGCCATTTGGTAGCAGGCCGCGTCGTCAATCCCTCTGCTTAGGAACACACGGGGAAGATTGATCAACGATCACGATCTTCTACCTAGGCAAGTGTCTTTAAGTATTTTCTCGACAGTGAAGTAAGAAGGACAAACTGCAGAATACTAATTGGCAACAAAGAGCCTGTTATAAAGCAGCACGCGTATAAAAACGTTCGAGTCCCCGGGAAAAATCGAAAACCTCGATAAATCTCCCTCGATGCAGAAGCGTAAAATTTGTCTGAAACATGTTAATGCATACGCTGAGCAGTTCATTACCTGGCTCTGTCTGATCCGTACGCGTAAGGCGAGAGCGATGCTAAAAGGAAAACCTCAGCAACTGGTTACTGCATTGAACAAAGTTATAACAGGATATCCATACAACTACGGCCGTAGATATCGTCTAAGTTGTATCAGCCCTATTCAGGCCATCGTTTTACAGAAAAAAAAAAGCGAAAAATCAAGGAAAAAAACGGCAAAACACAAACAACAGAATTCAAACGGCCGAACAAACATCTGGAGAGATAATATGGTAACAGCCGTTCGTCAGATAATGTTATGGTCGCCGCCAGATGGTATATATATATATATGTGTATATATGTGTATATATATATGTGTATATATATATACATATATATATATATAGAGCGAGAGAGAGAGAGAGAGAGAGAGAGAGAGAGAGAGAGAAACTCTGCGAGCGGCACAAGTCGTGGACGAACCGGCGAACGAAAATCGATGAGAACCACGCTACGCAGCAGCTCGAGCGTCAGCACGGACAAATCGTTCTGATATATGAAAGATTAATCGAAGATGGAAAAACTGGCCGTTCCGGCCCTGATTCGCCACTGCAATTAAACGTTCTCCTTTTTGATATCACTGCGAGAGCGACGTCGACTTTGACTGATGAATTTGTTAGAGGCACACATCAGTATTTATCAATGCTGGCCATGTTCAGGTTGAGGTATGTCTAAATCGCAGTCAGATTTGGATTAGGTCAAATGAGCTCTTGTACGTTCCGGCGAGACTCAACCATTACTTGATTGTTATTTTTATTTTTTCGTAGGTCTATAACGTGTGAAAAAGTGACACTGTAGTTGTCGCAGGCTGGAGATGGAATTTCATGAGATCAGTTAAATGAATCTGCCCTTCACTGAATTTTATGTCAAAAAGCTTAATTAATCGACGCGTGTGGCCGCTAATGATCGACACAATCAATATTCGAGCTAAAGAAAGCTCTCAGAAAAACGTCCCTTTCTTCTTAAGGGACAACGGCTAAGTTAGCCAAACCTAACCTAACCTAAGCTATCTATTGCTTGAAATGATCATTAACGCGACATCGAACAGCCATTCTTATTGTCGGCGAGACTCCGATAGAAAATATATAGACAAGAATTAATGAAAAGGGCACCGTCTTTATGGTGGTCCTGTTGCGGACCTTTCCCCAGTACTTCGGAGCGAATGCTGTACAGAAAAAATGCACGTAAATTGATAGTTTTACTCTATTTAACATATAATACGTGTGTGCGCTATCTCGGGATAGATCGAAATGTTGACGGTACGATACTGCGATGTAGCGAGGTTCAGCGTTATTTATAAAGGCCATGATCGTCTGCGTTCGATCTAAAACGATTTTTCTTATATCCATTGTACTTAAATATAGCGTCCATTGTATTGTAATTGAGGCTCTGAAGATGAGACATATATATATCTCCATTGATTCAAGATATTTAATCGAGAGTTTGTTATTTCATTTTATTTACTACAGGTACAATACAATGGATTTATACGTTTAACTAATTTTACTCATTATTCATTGATATTCACTGACCGTAAATTGTTAAGTATTGAGTAGTTCTGTGATGTACTTACTAGGATAGAACCGCGCAAGCATTGCGATTGCTTCCTTCCAAAGTACCACTAATAAAGCTCACATAAAATCAAAGAGAAAAGACCAAATTGGATTCCAAAACTACTCCACTTGTATTGATGGTGTACGCGCTGCTAGTAAAGAGTCACAATGTCGACCTAGATCGCTTTCAGTGTTGCTAGATGAGATCTACTGTACCACTTTCGGTGTTTTCGTCTGTTGTTTGCTGGTTAAAAACGAACCGGTCATCATCAGAGGACATGACTGAATCATAGCTAAAAAGCCATCATCCGAGCGCCAAACCAATGAATCAATCGGTGACGGATATATCGACGTTTTTTTCAACAAGCTCCAACATACGCACTCGCATTCACACGAATAGATAGTAGCTGCAGTGCTGTGCTTACGCACGCCCGCGGGCGCTGTCGACGCTGGCCCACCGTCGTGTCGTATTGATGCATCTCAACTTTGCGCCATTGTTACCGGAGGCGTACGGGAACAGCAGCGGCCGACCAATCAGCCATTCATTTTGCTCTGTCACCGCCAGCCAGTGCCAATAGCAAAACTCAGCGCTCAACTCTTTCTCTCCGTTCTGTTTGCTTTCAGCTAGAATGAGTCGCTGACCGTAGACGTAATCGATCTCTCAATCTTGTGTAGTTCCCTTTCATCGTCGTCGTATTTTTTGTCTTCTTTTATGCAAAGCGTTCAATAGCTCTCTTTTGTTCTTTATCTCTTAGCCGGTTATCTATCCAGCTGCACTCATAAGAGTTCAGGCGCCGCACACATCCATCAGATCTACATCCACTCACAGCTGTAGCTGATAAAGATTGCACGTACCTTCAACGTGCACCATTCATCGTCTGTGTGTGTGTGCCCCTCTCGATATTTTGTGGAGACGCGGACGCCTCTGATTGACAGACAGCTGGAGAAATCAAGCAAGAAATCCATAGCACACCATGGCGCAGCGTCCCGCAAGAGTGCTGGCTCTGCAGGACTGATTTCTCTAACATATACATATCACATACACAGTAAATGTGTTTATTCATGCATATGTCCCCCCCTCCCCAACATACACTGATGCTCTTATTTCTACACCGGAATACGGCCGTTTTCTTAACAAACTTCGTCAATCATGGCGAAAAAACAAATACGTAACAATACGACATAAATACAAGCACCGCGTAAATTAATGTTGACGTAGTTGTTGGTAGCGGCTTAGTGAGATACTCTTCATCCATTCCCATGATTTCTTGCTTCCTTCAGTCAGAAAGTTCTAGATGGCAAAGCGTTCAAGAAGGTGGTAGTAGTAGAGAAGTATTTTAAGGCAGCCATTAACGATCAATCGGCAGAAGTAAAACGTAGCTTTTAGCAGTGATAGCGGGTGCAGCTTTATCCGACTCCCTTCGTTATAGAGACATTCTGGCAAGGCTCGTTCCTGCCTGTTCGTATCTGTCGACTGTTCCTCATGACGACTGGTTTCCCTTCTGGTTCTCTTCATTCTTCAGCAGCGATGAACAGGTCGAAAAAAAAGAAGAAAATGGTGATCCAGGCGAAGACGAGCAAGGGAGAGCAAGAGAATCGAAGGAAGAGGTTCGCTGGTTGGCGACATGAACTGCCTCGTTGTTTGGCCGCAGAAGCAAACGCGCCGGCAAGATGGCGTCTGCATCGACTACGTTGCCGTAATGAGTGAGCAGCAGTGATGAGTTGTAGAAGTTCGGTTGCAGGCTTTAAAGTGATACTGGTAATGGTGGCGCTGGCGTTGGCGACGTTAGTGCCCTGGAGTTGAATATACCAGTCGGAGGAAGTGGGTTTTCCTTGGCGGCCGGCGCAGCTGACTGCACTGACTCAAGCTGCACCGAGCCAAGCGCGGCAAGAATCGAAGAAAACGTCGACGTAGACGCAGCTGCGTGCTATTTGTCATCATCCACAGTGGCTATCTAGCTAACGTCGGCCTGACGAACGACAGAGTTCTACGAATCGCTACAATTCAGGAGGAGGCGAAGGCCGACAAGAGACTACTTGAGTCGGGCGCGCAGACACGAAAACGACGATGACGAAGTTTGTCATCATCGTGGTGTATCTGAGATAGAGGCTGACCGAGGCTCTTCGTTAAACAACAGCGCCATGGACATCCGAAAACGGCCCGATGCCTGCCGCCTGCAGTGCAACCGGAGATCGTCGACGTACCGTTGTCGTTGTAATCGCCTGACGCGAGCGCGGCGAAGCACGTCACTGCATCTATCCACGAGATACTGACTTATAGCCACTATGAAGCAGATAAAGCAGCGGAAGTCAGAAAATCATTTGTTGTTATCGTCGCAGCAGCTTCGACACTGGGAAAACGAACCGCCATTTAAAGATGAAAGCTAAACAACAGCAGTAGGGGATGGTAAAGAACACGAGGTCACCGTCTCGTGCCGCGATTTGATCGTGGTCTACTGATTGCTGACCGGAGCGACGTACAGAGTGGGTTTGCCGCGACGAAGAGTATTTTTTGCTTCTCTAGTTTTTCGTGCGTTTTATTAGAGGCTAATGGGGAAGCTAAAAGTTGATGCTTAACGGCGATTGGTAATTTTCGACTTAATCGGGTATTCTTTGCTGTTCGTAGTAACTAATTGACTATGTTAGCTTTGTTTCCAATAAGAGTGACGAAACATATTTTCCGCTTTTGGAGTTGCCGACGACGGAGGTTAACCACTGCCGCGAAGTGGCGTAGGAGTTGGTTGGTGAGCAACAGCTCAGCCGGCAACAAAAAAAAAGAAAAAAAAAGTAAATGAGACAGATAAGACATCTGACAGAATATCAACGAGGCCAACGACGGCAGACCGGCCACATCTACTTCCACGGTACCGCAAGCAGCAAAAGGAAATTTATTTATTACGATATATGTGCGAGATTGCTGCAATAGGATGTAATACATCAGCACTCACGTATGTCCTTTAGGTAGGACGCAACGATGGCATCTTGAGAGATGTCTGATATAAACACGATCCAGTGGAGCCTCATGTCTACAGTCTATTATAGGTCTCGGAGAAAACTGGTTATGAGAGTGTAAGCTCTTCCTTTAGCCACATAACGAAACGTTTTGTTTAAGGATTCGTTTATTCTGAGTGGCGCAGTGTATTAACACATTCTAGTCCAAATTTATCTCTGACGTCCTTTGTACAGGCGGGTGTTACGCTCAAGCTGTCGTTGTATTAGGACGTAAATAAGTTAACGATAATTGTGTCGATACCAGAAGGCAAAATAAATGATAAGAAATTAATACTGACCGCATCGAGCTGGTTGATTTTTGCCCCCCCGGAAAGGATGAGGCTCCTGGCAGCGTCCACGAAACCATTGGCACATGCCATATGAAGAGGGGTGCGGCCCTCCTGAAAGCCGACAGAAAAACAGGCCAAGCCCGTATAACATGTTAGGTCTCGTACAGTTATTATGTGAGGGCTACTCGTATATTTATTGACTAAAAGCTTCCTGTCCTTATGCACGTGTATAGTATAATGTTTTTCTATCACTAGTTGGCACTCAAGAAGGCCTTTTCTAGGTAGAAGTGAACCGTCAGAGAACTAGACAAAGTTCTGACTTTATTAACGGCAATGGTAGCGTTACTGTTTCACCGAACCTATATCCGGCAAAGATCTTTACAGGAATACTTTTCATTTCTTGTAAATAACGACTAGTTATAGGATGCGACTCGTTTACATGCATCTAATTAACTACTTCGTCCATTTTTTGATGGCTTCTTGATCCTCATTAGAGAGGAAGGATATCTGGCAGCCGCTTTTGGCACGACGATCATTCATAGGTTGGCGGCATACCCGTTCCAGCTCGAAGTAGAAGTTCGGTTGCAGACGAGAACTAGACTTAAGCCATATTTATTTGTGACCAACATATGCCAAATGTTGCTCCTAATCAGTGTTGATGATCAGTCACAATGAGCGATTGTGGGAATCAACAGATTCGTTTAGTAAACAAACATAACCGAATCCCAATGGCAAGGTGTATAAATTCTTAAAACGGGTAGATTTTCAGTACAGAGAAGAAAAGGATCATTTAATTAGTCAACGCTTCCTGATTTAACCTTCTGCAAGTGTTACACGGCAATGTGCAGTAGATATAAAATTAAATCTATTTTACCTCTCCTTTATCTTTATAAAGTGAATTATATAGATGTAAAAATGCAACTAACTGGATTGGTGATCAAGGAAGAATGCGCATATACTATAAGTTCGATCAATATTCTGTTTTTCTACCGAGATCGGGTATACCAAGCTGCTTAATTACGGCGCTAAAACTTGTTAGTATCTATAATAAATAATTATATAATACAAAAGTTGTTATATTCTACATGACGTCACGTATTTACCCATACATATCATTGTATCATGCAGCCCGCCTTTGGTTGGTGCATCACCAATGACATCACATATTGGGGAACCCTAGGAGGAAGAGGTACTATCCACACTGATAGGTTTTTAGAGCCAAGAATTGCAATAAATATTTACACTGTTTTACAACATTAAAGCAAGAACCCCCTAGCGATTCCGCCGGTCGCGGTGCCCTTTACGGGAGCCATTGAACAGACAAACTAATGGTCATGGAACGTAAAAAAAAACGTTATGCTGATTAGTTACCAATGTAGCATAAAAACATCAAACAGCAAAGCAAAATTAATTACAGTTGATTGGCTGTCAGGGGTGTATAAATCCGTATGTAAGTAAGGTAATCCAAAGCGTCCCATGTTAGCACGAACGACAAAATAATCGATTATTTTCGCTAGGTGTAGCCGGTAGCAGCCATAGTAGCGTATTTCAGGGTACACGACAACTCTATTAGATGAGCTATCCATTTTCGTTGAGTTTTTGCTTTTTTTTTTTTCACTGGTTACATGTATGTATGTTGACTTTATCGATCGGTGTCGTCAAGTTACCGGCGATTTCATAAATACGCCCTAAATAATTATGTCTGAGTATGTGTGTGTGTGTGTGTGTGTGGGAGATAACATTTGATTTATTCGAAGTACCGAAAGATCATAGTCTTAGTTGACTTTTAAGAAGCTATTTTTCGGAGTTGTTCCTGGACATCGTCTAGAGTATGAGCAATAAATATTTCCTCGTTAAACGTCAACATCGAAATGAATAAAGATAGCTTACACATTCAGATCGCCATTACCTTTATGATCCAAGCCGGTAACTGCGGTGTCAAGCGTACCTTTCTGCCTGTTTGTACCATGCTTCGCCAAAAACTTAAGTTTAGCACCAAAATGTATAGTGAGTAAAGTAAGAACAGGATGTTGTGCTTTTAGGGTTATCGTTATTATGTGTCGTTCAAAACATAGTCAGAGGGCTATCGTACCTTTCGAAACATTTTTAGCTGGCTTCTCCCAGCCGCTCAGAGCAGTTTGCTTCCGTTTGACTTTTGATTTACAAGCGTCGTCGTTGTTATTATTATTAGTATTCCAGTGATATTTCGTTTGTCTCTATGTGCGTGCTTATATACACATATATACGTCAGTTGCAGAGCTTATTATCAGAGTAGCACCACTGTCGTCGAGCGAGCTAAATTTATATTTCTAGAGCTGCTAAAAAAAGGTATCATCATCATTAAACGGAAGGCGGGAGAGGCTGTGAGTGAACTTTCTGTAGGTGTAGATCTCTGTCTGTCTGTCTAATTTTTCAGCCCTGAGAGTGCTTCACTTGTTGCTTACCTCTGATTTGCTTGTATCTACGGAAAAATGATCGGATAAACCGGGTGCCACTTTGAGGAAGTATTACTCATTAAGCCTATTTATTGGGGTACGTAATATCAGTCGCACTATCGCCGTTGCCCTACACGCCGGTAAGGAAAGATGTTTTAGAAGCTCTATATATAGACGGTTGTTATAATGTTACAATTAACTGAAAAGGGATATCAGTTTATGATGAGGAAATGAATTCATATTGCTACGAGTAGTATAATATTGAAAAGTTTGGCTCTGACAATCGAGACGACAATCGTAAGCTTAGCTGGCTTTTTTTGCGCATTTTTAGTGACAGCTCTTTACCACAATCCGCTCAGACGCTCGCTGGAAAAGAACGTGACAAGTGATAATCTAAAAACCGTTGCTCATTGGCAGGTTCAGCCATCGTTTTAAACTGCCGGTAAGACCTTGTTGTTTGCATATAGCCTCTTCATTGTAAGGAATGATTAGGTAGGTCGTTCTATGGCGGACAACAGCATGCGGTCCTCTTCTGGGTGTCCAGTAAATACGAAGTACTGCTTCAGATCTATGCCAGTTAGAGCCATGATACGGAGAAGCCAGCAAACAACGTTATAGGCATTCTCGCCTCTATTACATTGCGCTACAGACCAGTGCCTTTTTGAAATGTCTGACAACGTCAGATGCGATGATGCTCGCTGGGAAGCGGCGCCTTGTTCTGCATGCTTGGCTAGCTCTGATTTAAGCCGCTAAGATTGAAACACTTATGCGGTGTTACCAATCAGATGATCTGTGTAACGTTTGTGTATAATACATTCGATTGAATCCCTCGTTGTAGCATCCAAATTAATATGTGTTTAAGATATATCGTACTGCTATGAATCAGCCTTTTTCCAGTGTTGGATGCGGTAAAGAATGACTCATGCTACGATACGCATTTGCGTGATTCCACAACCTATCGTCAGCACTGATCTACACTTAACTCACCATTGAGCTCGTTGGCCATGATCTTCTCACTGTCAAAAAAACACGTACAGGATAACAACAACCACAACGTATGTGAAGTCATTAATCAATTGGCCTGTATTATATAAAGCAATGAAGACGATGGTCACCTGTTACCGTTGTTTTCATCTAACAGAAAAAAGGGTATCAGGATATAGCAATAACAACAAAAACAGTACCTACAATTAAGCCTTGCAAAACACCTGTAAGTGCTCTACAGCCTTTAATTCTCTACCACGACCAGGATCTTACCTGAAGAAATGATCGAATCATGGCGCCCAGTATGTAGCACCCGAAGGCAAGACAGTATGAAAGTCATATGCTTTTCCAGCAAAGTAAAGAATCTCAAGGTGTAGAATATATTGAAAAAGAAGCATAGTAAAAAAAATTGGTGTACATGACGTAGAAAGAACATATACGTTTCACGTATAAAACCTTTCTTATCTGATAAACGTGTGGTGCCAAATATGTTTTTACCTTCAAACCGTCATCATCAAAAAATCTTAGGCGTTCAAATATAAGTCGCTGGTTGGAATACGTTTAAATGTGCGCATGACTCGATCGTTTCGCCTGAGTATTTACGTAAACACGCATTACGTATCAACGAATCTGTGGCTATATACATAGGCAAGCTATAGTCGTGCTAACAATCGTGCATAAGGTTAGGTTTCTGTGCTAATTTTTAAAATCGTTTTGGCTAATGGCTGCATGTTATATGGTCTGCTCTAGGGTAGATCTGTAGTAGAGAAATTGCTCATTTTGCCTTGGCATCGACAACTGTTGGCTCTTATTTGCTAAATTAAACGTCGCTCTTTGTTAGACAGAAGTGGAGTTAATCTGAAGCATGCAAATTCAATGATTTGCTTGGTAGGCAACAGATCTAAAGGAAATTCTATAAACGAGAGGTAATAGAAGCACCCGCAGATTTTTCTTCTCGATGGGTGGCGGCGATGCTCAATTTTATGATTAGCTGGCGCATTGCCTATATTATTGAAGCTATCTAATGTACGTATGTTCGTTAGGGGAGTTTGCTGCAGCTCGTGTCGCTACTGCTCATCTAGTAGTGACTTTAAGCTGAGGATGACGCCCGGCTGCCATTTCCGTTGTCACCGACGACGAAGATAACTGCGACCGGGTCTTCGCCACAGCAAAAGATTCTACAGTAAAATAAGGCAGGAGCAAGTGAAGTCCAAAGTACGGATATCAACAAATTCAAGAGGCCCTGGCAAATCCACGGACGTACGTACAGCTGCTGAGTCGGGTATCTGGCCAACGACGGCATTAGCAACGGTTCGGACTTGAGCAAAAACACTCATATCATCAGCAGTATGAGCTTCTCACTCTGCTGTTGCTTGCTCACACAGCAGACCCACAACGCAGTACATTCGTGTAATGCTACAAGAACGGGAGCAGTCATTCGTTGAAGACTGAAGAAAAAGTAATCACTATTATGCTACGACGTTCTCTTGCCGTTTTATGGAACCGATGTGATGGTTTTCGCAGACAGGCTAATGGACAGACTGACTGCCTGTAGTACACTGGGTTTCCACTCTAACGCCTTGGCCTCGGTTATGATTTTGCTAGCAACACAGAAGTTACATGAGCTAAGCAGTGAGATAAAGGCTGGTGGCAAAAAGTGATATGAGCTGTGCATTTTTGGCGCGTTTTGTGGGTTGGGTGGAAATGGAAACGATGTTTCCATGACATCGCCATTAGAGCATCTGCGTATGTTGCTATTTATTAAGCAAACGCCTCGCAACAACGGCAAGGCTGACTATCTTTGAAGAGAGGCAATCGAACGCATTTCATGGCGAAAGACCGTTAAGTGTGAATGATAGCCGGTGGGGCGTGGGGGTGGGGCAAATACATTATACGGTGTATTTTTATTAACGATCGAAAAGTGAAAAAGGTTTCAAAACTGCTCTGATTTGAATTTGCGCGGGCATAAACGTGCCTGTAATTGTGGGTGGAGTTATGACGCCGCTAGTCGCGCTACCAGAAAACTCTTCATCGTGGGAAGAAGAGTCATTTTTGTTGCATGTCGTACATCTTTCAGCATTTATACAATTCGAACAATTGGAACCTACAACCCTTCTCCTGAAGGACTGCCACTTTGAACGATAATACAAAACCGAAGATAGTGGCGAAGACCATATTTTACTCTAAAAGGTAATCTAATCTGTGTCGAAGATGTTTTTCAATTAAAGCTATAAAACATAACCACTAACAGCCAACACATGTGGTTGAGTAGTTAGCGTGTCTTCGCTGTTCATTCAAGCTTTATTCAGCGAAAGCGAGGCAAACATATGGTACGATTAAAGACAATGATCTGGACAAACAAAGCCCGACGCAAATTCACTCAGGTTCATCGAGCCCTCGTGTTAGCGTCACTTATACAAGCTGGAACATTGAAAATCAGGGGTAGCACTCGATCGCAGCATACACGTATGACGAAGCTTTGAGTTATAAAAAGTATCTTACAGATAAGGCGTATAACTTATAGCCGTACCGCCGAGTTGCGACTGGGTGTCGTTCGTAGCTTTTTGCCATTATAACACAGACGACTAGTAAACGTAGCTTTACAAAACCAAATGGATAAACAACTTAAGGAAAGCAACTAGCAAAGCAAACTGAAAGGAAAGATCAAAGAGAACTTCAAGAAAAACAGGAAATGTAAGCAACATCATGTAAGCCTGTACTGTCGAAAAGGCTACTAAGGAACATTCAGAGAGTCCGAGTTAATTGAAACAGTATGCATATTAGCAGCAGCAGTAGTATGCATATTAAGAGATGACTTCACGCGGTCATTATGATATTCCCGCCACCATGGCCATTAGCATATGTGTAATCGATGCAAACAGGCGCACGTACATACACACATGCTCGTGCATTGGTGCATCTGCACTGCGCCTGATCTGACGCCGCCGCAATTGCACGAAATTATCATCGTCTACTGTCAGCGAATGACAGATGTGATCTGTAGAAAACAAACGAAAACTGCAAACAAGTAATACGATTTGAACGGCTGGCGCTGTCGTCGTTATTGCCACCGTGAGCCAGGTAGTTGCATTCGAAACAGAGACGACAGCAGGAGCAACAAAAGTCATAAAAAAGCACTGAGAATCAATCAATATATTTACCTCTGTGTCTCTTTTCTCTCACGGCCTGTCCGGCCGCGAGTGGTTCTCCCTGTAATTGAACAAAGTATGGCCATTGAGGCGGATCAAGCCGAGAGAAACTGAACCCGTTTTGCTATTGCCTCCGTATTTTAATTACTGCCACTGCCGCTACGGCAGATGCGTCCACCAGGGGTCATCATCACCAACAGCATCACCACCACCACCACCACCATTCAGACAAATGACATCGAACAACGAGGAGGCTAAAGGGCGAAGGAAACGTGGTAAAGAACAGGGATTGCGATTTCGATGACTCGTTATGAAGCAGATCATGACGAGCGTGACGATCTAAGATTTAGCGCTTATGGAGTCAATAAAGCTGTCCGAACTAAGAACGTGTAACTGCTAGTTCTCAGGATAAGCGTAATCAACATAGAAACAAATATTCAGTAAATGTCTTATGATTAAGCCTGCTTTGAATAAAGCTAATATTGATTCACTCTTATGCACCGTGTGGAAATCTTGGGATTCTATGATCACCATGTCACGCGCAATCAAATCATCGTTTCAATCAGTGCCATTTTAAGGGTAGAATTCTATAAGGGTATAGAACGTATAGAAAGATTGATAATTAGACGGTACTTCTCTATATAAACGTTGCGGTTTTTCGAAACCACGGAACAAGTATCAATACTAACATCACCGGTAGCAGCAACAGCGAAAACTGTTAACTGCCTGTTTAGACAGAGGGAAATAGGATAACTTCTATATATCGAAGTATAATAAAACGTTGTGGTCACAGTGTGTGCGTATCAATGTGAGTATGGGTGCGGTTTGACGCGTATGTGTTTACCTGAGATAGAAACTTCGTATTCGCGGTTCAAGCTTGTTGATGGTGGGTTAGAAAATAGAACGGAAAAAACATCCCAACAGGACATGCAGGATACACTACTAATGGTAATTATGATCTCATCAAAGTGACGTTCTCAGATAAATCATCGAGGCGAACATATTACACAGGACGTAATAACACGAGATACCCTCTAGATGCTAGATAATTACGCTCCCATTTTTTCTACAACTTTGACCTACCTCCATAGGCGACTGTACATTAAGTTTATGGCGGACCTTTTATATTAGCCTGATATAATTTTGCCTTGCTGCATTGTGTCAAGACAATGCCATGAATATATCGTAACATATAAGCTCGTGTGTTTCTATTTGTGCGAGATTTAACAGTAAAAAGCGCGCTGGCATTCATTTACTAACCAATGGGTGTATGTGTGTGTGCCTAACACGACGCGTGTACGTGATAGAT